GCTGTCTTCAAAAAATTTAGGACAAACTGCTCTCAAAATGATTTCGATCAATTCCTGTATTTCCATGTAGTTCTTGTGGTGAGTGTTGTTGTTTTGTTGTTGTTGTTGTTTGTTTGTTTCTTTTTTCATTTAAGGTATGACTGGCAGTTATCTTAGTTTTGATTCTCATGTCCAATACACCCAATCTGACTCAGGAGACAAGTCATTCCATTTGAGTCAGGTTGAGGATTATTATTAAGCGTCTTGAAAATCGACTTGTAGTAAGACATTTCCACCTTAAGAGGCACGGTTTATTCAGATTTCCAGTATCACAAGATGACTTAACCACTAATTAACTTCTGGTGGGTCGATTTGTGAACGACTCAACCCAATTTGGATGTATTGGACAACCCTCAACATTTAATAATTAAAGATAAGTTATAATAAAAAATAAATAAACAAAATAATTTAAAAAGATAATTTTTCCCAATTTCTCGTAAAATACAAGGGTAATTTCACCACGTGCTTGAAGTGAATCTTACATTTGTATCTTCTAAATTTAACCATGCGGTATGTTTTAAAGCACTTTAAGCAATTCACCTCCTACAGCGGCCATTCTTTTATTTTCTTCTTCTGAGCTGGTCCACCTGCACCAATTCCTGCTAGCTCTTCTGGATGATAATCTTCCATGACTTCAAGGGACATAAATCCATCCATTTCGCCCGCAAAGAACGAAGGATCGTCCAATTCTACTGGTTCCCATTTTCGCTTCTTCCCTTTCGAATTCTTCTCTGACCATTATGGAGCAATGAATCAAAGAGCTTTAGTTGAGAAACTGAATCTAAACGTTTTTTTAAATAACAAACAACCGTTTTGGTTTATCCTTAGAGAATTAATAAAAACACTATCACGTCGTCCGCCATTATGGATTACCCGCCAGAGAAGGACTGGATAAGAAATTGTACTGCGCGCATATTCAAACGAGAGTCATGCGCTGATTTATTGCTACATGACTTTTCTCCCTTCGCCGAGTTCACTGAAACCTTTGTGAAACGTGAATGAAAAGACTAACATGGCGAAAGAACACCGTACATTCAAAGAGAAGTGCATTTATATTGAGCGCTTAAACGAAAACTCGTTTCTTATCAAGAAAGGCTTTGTCCCAAACATGAAGGTAAGTGAACGCGCGCCAAACATCAGATCGGAAGCTCAACTCCAGCTGAGTAGCGTGCGCGTCAAAATACACGTCTAACGATGTCATACTTGAGAATGTTGATAATAAGCTATGGTCATCGAAATAAATCCCCTTACACCTGCCATATCCGTCAAAGTAATTTCCTTCTTTGAAATAAGTTTTGTCACAAGGAAAATTGTTTCTGGGACAACTGGGCCCAGGAACCTTTTCTGCCCACGTTATGATCAAATCCCCGCCCCCTGCACCCCTCCACGTCTCTCATGTCAGAACTGTTTTCTTTTTTTTGTTTGTTTGTTTCAATCAGTCAATTCGCGAACTACAGTCAAACCTGTCTTAGGTGGCACCGTATTGAGCACTTGCACTGTAGTAGACGCCATATTCCCGTGGGTGACTGCTTAATACAAGGTTGACTGAACTGGACAAATAAATTTTGTCCTCACTTCCTCCATCAAACCCAGATTATATCCATTATTGTCCCCATCCCCCCTAATTTCTCACCTTTTCCCCTAGTTGCAGACTGTGGTGTTTTGCTGGAAATTGTTGATGCAAGAATGTCCTAATAAGTACTGGATTAGGATGTTCTGATTAATTAGTACCATGGACAAATTTTTACATACTGTTTCAGATTCAAGACTTGAGGTGTACATTGCAACTATTCAACTCTAAAGTTCAAACTATTCTTTTCTTTTTTTTCTTTAAAGGTTGAAGGTATCTTAGATATATAAACGAGCTGCTTGAAAAACTAATGTTTGATAAGCTGAAGCACTGGGCTGGAACTCAAGGTACAGTACTCTAAACATTTGAAATATAATACTGTTGTATTTGCTGCATTTGTCTTATTCCTTTTATACAATTAAATTAAATTGCTCTCCATGTGTAGGTGGTTGCCTTCCTGGTGTAAGGCAGATTGCAAATGTTGCAGCTTTGCCTGGAATTGTTGATGTAAAAATGATCATAACTTTTTCTTGTTGAAATTACAACTTAGTTTAATTGAAACTTGTTCAATCCTGGGCCCAGTTGTTTGAAGGCTGATAAGTGCTAACCCAGGGTTAAATTTTAATCAGGGTATGTTTAATCCTTTGTTTAAAAGCCTTTTAAAATAATTTACCATAGATTTTTTAGGGCATCCAATCATCAAATTGCAGACTAAAGGAATTGTACATGTAGACTGAATTTCATTTGAAAGCTTTCAGATATGAAATCAGATTTCACACTGACCATTAGTTATCTAAACTCAGCTTTTAACAAACTAACCCTGTACTCTTGGGAAGCAGAGAAAGTATAAAGTGGAGATGACAAAAGAGTTTCTTGCTATACAGTTTGTGTTTCCATAGTATTTTTACACAAAGATTTCACTTAAAGTGATGCCAAATAGAGCATCCAGTTATCCAGTTAGATCCAGTTAGATCCAGTTAGATCCAGTTAGATCCAGTTATTTCATGCACGATCTTGAGAACACGAGCAAATCAGTTTTTCTGCTTTAAGCAAAAGCCCTTAGAACTGTTTTTCTAGGAGTTTTCTTAAGTTCCTGTTTATTTCCCTCAAAAAACAGGAAAACTGAAAGCGAAAAAAGGCAAATAGAATTAAAAGGCTACGTACATTATTTAAACTTTATGTGCTCTTATTTACCTCATCAATGGAGTTCCTAGGCCGCTCACGCAGATCACAACACAATGACTCAGTTTAATTCTAGCCATTCTAGAAGTAACATTCCTTCACTTCTTCTTTGCTTATGGACTACAATGCTTTTACTGTCACTTTGATACCTATTTTTCGATGGTAAACCCTGTTTGAACAGGAAAAGAAAGCTGTTTAAAAGTGAAATCTGAGTGGAAGGAATCGCTTTCTACCATCGGAACACCATTGAAACACCATACAAACTTGTTTCCAATACCTCTAAATATGGTGCTGCAACCCTGTCAACCCTCTTTTTCACAGCACCCTTGCAACTCAGGTATCAAAGTGATGTCAAATTGTTGGCGTGACTGAAAACCCTGTTTCAACGGGAAAAGAAAGCTGTTTTAACAGTGAAATCTGACAAGTAAGAATCATTTTCCACCATAAATGAAAAATGAAAATGATAATCATAATGATTTGCATATTTAGTTCAGGGCATGAAATTGCACCTAATACAGGTGCCAATGCGACTAAATTTTTCACTTTGGCGACCAAATCCTGAAAATCAATCGCCAAATTGGCGACAAGCATGTTTCATCATAACCTTACCGAGAGATTTAGTGAATTAAAAAGATTTGCAAAGATAAATCCATGGCAAACTTCCTCGTTAAGTTTGTTTTCAAAACACAGCACGTGCATTTCAATCAATGACTTGATGCCAGCTTGGATTTAGGTGAGCTTGAATGTTATTTATCATCCATCCTAGTGTTCACTTTGTAGCACTTTAAAGATCTTTTCCCTAGTTTAATTTTGGAGAGTCTATCTAGAACATTGACAGTGTAAAAAAGGTTTTGTTTGTCTTTGAAAATGGCGACCAACTTTTTTTGAATTGGCAACCACTTTGAAGAATTTAGGAGCCTAGTGGCTATCAGAAAAAAATATTAATTTCACGCCCTGTAGTTAGAAAGAAGTAGTCAGCTTTAGGGATCTTTAGGGCTTTTGAATTCTGATTAGGTATTGTTTCATCATTCTTGTTCTATTATTTTATGTCAGCGCTACTAGATTTGATCAAGTGAATTTGCTGGCTATCTTAGAATTTCATCTCTCCACAGCCAAGAAAAAAAAATCTCACATGTTGTGATTTACTTTAAAAAAAGTGCTATCTGGTCCTATCTGCTGTCTGGTGCATTGTTGAAAGCACTTAGCACATATTATTTCCTTTAATTTCGTTAGTTGAGTTCGTGTGCCGCTGCACAGTAAAGATAAATCGAGAAAGCCTGCCTGTTGGTTTGTTTGTTTGCACTTCACGAATGAATGAAGATACAAATAGTACAGAACAGAAATGAAGAAGCCCCCTTTTACTTTGACATAGTTTGAAAGTAACCTACCTTGAACTATGGAAAATCCCTCTTTGAACATTAACATGATTTGAATTAATTTAAGCCATGAGTTCAACCTAGTATGGTATCTGGGATTGTGGCTTAGTCATCGCTATGGGTGGCCGTCACCACCAAAAATACCAGGATGTCAAATAGATCAGTAAAAACAAAGCTGGTTTAAGGATCAGCTGCAGGACAGCATAGCTAATAAAGGAATGGCATGGCCAAATTATAGACAGTTTACTTTTCCTTCATGAAACAGAACACCCTAAACATGAATAGTTTAGCCAAATGATAAACAGTCTAGTTGCCCATGTCGAGTTGGAAATTGAAATTGTGAAATGGACTAGCTCAATTGCAAATAACTTAGCACTCATTTGCAATACAGTAAACAAATGGTGTAGCATTGTGTCAAATGGCTCAGGGTAGTGTCAAGTAGCACAGCGTACACACAAACAGTGTAGTGTTGTGTGAAATGGCTCAGTGTAATTTTGAATGGTACAGCTTACATATAAACAGTGTAGCATTGCATGAGATGGCACAGCGTAAATTCGAATGGTACAGCGTACACACAAATGGTGTGGCATGGTATGAAATGGCTCAGCTTAATGTTAAATGGTATAGTGTACACACAAATGGTGTAGTGTTGCGTGAAATGGCTGTTGTTATCAGTATCTGTTGTCTACATTGGCAGTAGAAAACAGACAAACAGAGGAGTTTCTTGATCACAGTGCAAATTTCAGGAAGATAAAAATTACCTTATAATTAAAAAATATGTGCAAAAGACATTATAGTTAACTAAAACAATTCTACTGTATAAAATAGTGGGAAATGTTTGTTTCCTGTGTTTACACAAAAACTAGCAACTGTACAGTGCAGAACCCAGCTAGTCTTGAACTCTTGAGGGAAGCAACAATTTGCTCAAGACATACAGCTGGGAGTTTGAGATAGTGGGGTAAATTTGTCTGTGAAACAGGAACAAGGGATGCTGCTCTTTGTTTGAGATAGGGAGTTTTAGATAGCTGAGTTCCAATGGTTATGACTGAGAAAAGCAGGGCAAATCCAAGGGAAATGGGTTTGAGTTCGAGATAGCAGGGTTCAACTGTACCGTATTTACCTGTGTATAATATGCACTTTTTTCTATAAAAATAACCATCAAAATCACAGTGTATTATACACAGATTCTATTGTTTGTCAAGCAGGTCCTAATTTGCATACGTTAAAAAGACAACAAAGAAAGTAACAAAAGCCTAGTAGTAACTGGTCTTTATTAGCTTGAGTTAAATAATCTACCAATGAAACATTTTCAATTTTGATCCACAAACACAACAAAGAAAGTAACAAAAGCCTCATAGTAATTGGTCTTTATTAGCTTGAGTTAAATAAGCTACCAGTGGTGCCTAACCTTGAAGGTATCTCACAGCATTCACAGCAAACAGTCACCAAATTAAGTATTAATGTGTCACAGCAATGCAATTTTTTAGATGCACATTTACTTTACTATTACTAGTAATAATTATTTTGTAAGGTGCAATTCCCAAGTGGCAGTTGTGACCACAACACGTGTGCACTTGCTTAATGGCAATTGTCACAAGAAAATACCAAATGCTTCTACACTGCATGACCCTGTATGCATTATAGACATGTTGGTCTAAAAGAACATAAATATAGAGATTTTAAAAGCATTTCACATTCAGAGGAATTTTGAATTATATTTGTGGCATCAAATATTGTGGTTTCTCTGATGTTGTCTCTGCAAGGGTCAGGTACAATTTTGAGTAATGTAAAGTACCTGTGTGTATACCTTCTCTAGGTAACCACACAATAAGAGATAAATTGAAGACATGAAATTTAGATTTCACCAAGTATGGCATAAAATATATCTCCAAATGTTGTCTCCGCAACAGACAAAATACTGAGGAATGACCCTTAATTTGAATATTTAACCAAGTTTGAACTGTATGCAGTTGAACCTCTATTTAAGTGTCTATCACCCTTAAATAGATATTTTCAGAATCAACTCTATGCACATTGAATAGTTAAATGGTGAAATATTTCTTGTTTTTGAATTTACAAAATGCTAATTAGATGATGTCAACCTGGGAATTTGCCATTATTTCTATGCCAACTTACAATGTGCAGTATACAGCTTGAGGATAATTAATTTGATAAATACAAAAAATAAACTGTGGATAGTCAATTGATTGGTAAAAAATATTACTTGGAGGTGAAAACAAGTAGTTGTATAATAAATGATTCCCATGTTGACGTCATTAATTAGCATTTTGTAAATTCAAATCTATATAGCTCAATAATGCAACGTTCAAAACAAATATTTCACCATTTCACTGTTCAATGTGTGTAGACTTGATTCTGAAAATATAATTGTATTTAAGAGTGACAGGCACTTTAAGTGGCCATACTTTAATTAATTACAGCCACCAACTATAACAGTCATTGTTTAATTCTAGAACTGGAGTGTCATGGCAGCAACTTCCAGTCATGGTCTGTTCTTGTTATTCAGTGATGACAAACCTCTTCTCAGTTGCCATGATTTAAATATTGTGTATTGTGTCAACCCAGAAGAATCAGTGGGCAGAGCCTTATTCAAATAAATCATGGTGAGTTTGTTGTACTTAGTGATCACCCAACTATTCATTTCAGTAAAGCTGTTCAGATGGCGTATGACAGCTAAAATTTGTGTTAGTGGTTTCTATGCTTTGCATTGTTTAATTTAAAGGGGTGAGTGGAATAAAGCTTTGAGTGACTTCTGATCAACTGCTAGATTCTCCTTCCAGTTTATATTGTATATGCTCGTGTAACGAAGGGAGAATTTGGCTATAAATCAGGAGTCACCTAGGGCCTTATTCCAAACATTATTTTGAATAAGGCCCTAAGTGACTCCTGATCTGAAGCCAAATTGTTACATGAGCATATACAAGACAAACTGGAAGGAGAATCTAGCAGTTGATCAGAAGTCACTTAGGGCTTTATTCCAATCACCCCTTCATTTCGCACCGTAAAATTTTCGAACACTACAAACACATGAAATTTGCTAAATTTTCGGTCATTTTTACTAAAAAAAGGTCACTTAGAAAATTTTTGACAGCAATTTTCAGCTGGCATTTTTCGGAAAAATCACATTTTATTCCAAAGAATTTTCGGCTAAGTAAATTTTCAGCTAGAACATGTGAACAGGTAATATTTTTTCTAACGATCTGTAGGTTTGGATATGTTTGATAAATACATGTGGCGCAATAATTTTCCCATGTACAGTACCGACAAGAACTGTCCCCCACTAAAATTGCACCAAAAGCAGACCTGAGCAGAACATACTTTCTGAAGTGAACCCAACCAAACTTCAAGCCCATATATAAGCTATATAGGTATGTGCCGCCTAATAGGGTCGGGTTTTTGAGCCTCTGGATCCATAAATAGGGTGTCTTATTCGCGATTCTGGGTCTGCTCATGTTTGCACTGATGTTTGCATGTGAAGTGGGGGTTAGTTCCAGTCGGTACTGTAACTGCAACGACAATCCAATCGGAGGGTTCAATCGACGGTGAGGAAAGAGGCCTCACTACTCTATGTACAGTACCGCTCGCGTATACGTTAGCTGCGCAGGCGAATTTCATACGCTCCGACGTAGGGTAGTTAGACGCGTATATACGTTTTTTTGCACGCTCGGTCGAAAAAAATGCGCGATTCATGTGCCTTTGTTATTCAGTGCTATAAGTTTCCTTTGTATTTCATTGTTGTATGAAACAAAGGACTTCTAAGTTTGAAAAAGCGGTGAGTAGACAACGGAAAATTTACATAATGATTTTCGGGTAACGAGTAGTAGCAGTAGATTGATGTTAAGCCTTCTGATCACCAACTACATTTATGATTTGTAACGTTCATATTTGTCATATTACAGGATATCCAAACTGAGCAGGAATTGTCCCCGGGCCACCGACGTGCTGGCACACATTGGCTATATTCCTCGAACAGTCATTCAGTACGCTAAGTACCTTCTAAGAGGCAACAGTAACGTTGAACTTTTCATGGTCAAGGCAATTACTAATATTCTACAAGTACTAGAAGACGAAGCACTGTAGATTCCTGATAGGTGCAAACGTGTGCGCATCAGGTCACTAGCGATGATAAGTACTTGCAAGGCTAGTGGTATGTTTGAAATGAGGTGGTCACCATCAACCTTTTCCTGGTCTTGTTTGAAACCACCAGGATTCGATTTGAAAGAAGTATCCGTCGTTAGCCCTCTGGTTGAAGAAGCTGTTGTGCAGTTTACGTTGGAAAATCCTAATTATTTGTTGGATGTAGTAAGTATTGATTTTTTTTACTCTGGCGATCAAATCCTGGGGTGGGGGGCCGATACTGAACTGACAGGGGGGCTCGGCCGTACCATTTTGTGTGTAAAATTCCAGATATGGTACCATTTAGGGGGGCTGTTGAAAAAAACAATTTTATAATTAACTTGGTACCATTTAGGGTGTCAATTGATTACTAATTGGAATCTGGTTACCGGTTACCGATTTCAGACTTTCAGTTACCGGTTACCGATTTCAGAATTTCAGTTACAGGTTACCGATTTCCCGTTTGGTAAACAAACAACATTTTTTCCATGCAAAACATTATAGTAAATGTGCTCGACTAGTACCTCGTCTATTAACAACAAATTAAGCGCTAGAATGAGCAGACAACCAAAACATGTCGAATTCTTCATGACACATCTGAAATGGGTAACCGATAACCAGATGCCAATAAGTCAGTCAACTGATTTGTCATGTAAAGCAGAGTACAAAAATATCATTCTCGATCAGCTTTTCAGTCAACCTACAGTGCCTTTTAGGGGTCATTTTTAGGGCCACAGCCGAGCCCCCCTAGTGTCAGTTCAGTATGGGAGCCGAACTCCACCCCCCCACCCCGCCCCACGGGAAACAAATCTGCAGGTTTATAGGCTGGTTAACCGCGGTCAAACGAGAGAAATTTGCAAAAGTTAAACAAAGTACTTAAAGGTTAAGGTAGTCGTTTTCACTGTTTATTAAAGTTTAATATATTGCCAACATATTTACCAAAATTTACCAAACGTTTTGAAAGTTTACCAAAAAAGTTCTAAATACTGTGAACCGCAGAATCGTCGACGCCATTTGTCAACATAATTTGGATCAGGCGCAAAGAGTTTTGGTCAGTTTTCCACGGAAAAAAGCTCATCATTTTGAGAAAAATTAAAAGATAATAACGTGAACTAATTTTTTTACTCATCCTTGCTTACATTAAATAAAATCCCACTGAATAAAACGAAAACCGCGTTGGACGTTTGACCGCGGTGGACCAGGCTGGATACATCCCTGCGTTTGGTAAATGAAAGAAATAATTATGGCTTCATTCACCATTCATTCAGCGTGTCACGCCCCAAAGCATAAAGTATAATGAGGCTCCATCTCTTCATCAGGTGGATACCATAAAAGGCCTATCTGCAGGGAGACCTGGCAACTTAGTTGGCAAATATTGGGAGAAGCTGATATTTAGCAATCTCAAGGAATGTGAAAAATGAGTATTCCTTCAAGGAAGAGGCATGTGGTTCCACTGCTGCTAGATCCTACTTAAATTTGTGTGGACATCAAAGCAAAACAGATACGAGAAAATCGATAGAACAGATAATTAGAGATAAATATAGTGCAATGATAGTCCATTGTCCTAATACCAGCGCCTTTGACTTTGTCATCGTTGATAAATGCAACAAAATTCATGCCATTCAGGTAACCGTTCAAACCGCTGCGAAGAAATGTAACGACAGTGACTTTTTCAAGACTGAAAATATTCACTTTACGTATTTACTAGCGCCTTGTGAGGTCGACTTCAACGCTATTAAATTGAAATAAAAGTTATATGATGCATATGTGGCGTATGGTTTGCGAATTGTAAATGGAGCCAGTTTCCTAACTCAGAAAGAATGGAGTACTTTTCAATTTGGCGTCGAAGCCACTTGAAGATCTGTCTTGGCGTGGATTAATAAAACGGGTATTTCATCTGCAACATGTTTGTTGCCCATGTGGAAAAAGGGACTTCCCTTCTCATGAGGCTTGAAAGAAACCACCCCGAACATACGGAAGATTGCTGAAGTTTACCCCCTCTTATTTTGAAAACGAGCGCGGTGACCCCCATTTTTATTTCATTTATTTCTGAACTTCACTTGTATCGATCTTTGTTTATGCAAAGTTTCAAAACTTTTCTATAAGTCCCGAACTACCTTAAAATATATGCATTAATATATATATAGTAATTAGACTATTATATATTATTTAGGTCATATAACGAGACGAGATTATACAAACAATGACATGTGTCAAGAACTACAAAAGTAGTTCAAATTTTCTACCGCCATAGCGAACAAAACAAAACGAGGTCTGAATTGCCCTTATTCATAATGACGTCACATCAAAACAATCTATTGTTTAAACGCAAAGAATCATGGTCGCGGGAGGGGGACAAAACAGCAACAACACAAAAAAATTGATATAAAACTCGTTTTATAGACCAAAGAAAAGCGGTGACAGCCATCAAGTGCAATAAATATTGCTTATTAAACATTAGTGCATCTCATATTTGAGTCCCAGGCCATTTGAGTTCAAACTTTTCTTACCAGAGCGAGTTTTAAACGAATTTCTATTGTTCTAGACGATTCTGTCCCCCTCATAAACAAGCCCTGACGTCATCATGAATACGAGCAATTAAAAACAATAAACGGAATATTTATTGGACGCTAAAAAAATTGACAGTGAAATGAAGAACTTTCTTAATTAAGCATTGTAATAAAGCATTTGTAGCATAGATTTCGTAATTCCAAAAAAATATCCATCCCACTCCCGCCCTCACGGATGGATTTTTTTTCACACAGCCCTTTGGAAACAACTTTTACAGATTAGAGAGTTACTCTAAACCTCACCCTGAATGGATAATTTGGGAGGGGAAGCTCTTGATCTTTTGAGTTCCTGTTTGTAATTTTCATAATAAAAAAAAATACAGCGACCCTCTAATACACGAACTACTTTTCATGTCATACACTTAAAGGCATAAATACGGGATTCGCGAAAGGAGAAGCCTTACGCCTCCTAAGACCAAATTCGTCACGCTCAACTTTTAACAAAAACGTACAGAGTTTCAAATATGCTTAAAGAATAAAGAAAACCGAGAATAAGGTTTTGAGAAACATATCTTTGGAGCTATTTTATGCGGGAGAGAAAATATACCTGAAAACGAAAAATATAGCGCGCACAAATGAAAATGTTACATTTGGTAACACAATCTCATCCAGCTGTGCCAAACCTCAAGAAGACCAAGAACATACAGATGGAGAAATGACACCTTAAAAGTAATCTTTATTATCACATCGCAAACAAAAGTCATTAAATGATATTCTAATAGCAGCTAAGCTTTCAAGTTAGCAGATTTAAAAGCGCAAGCGAATGGCAGGAGTCGCACAAGCCTATCAACACCTTTTAACCATCGACAACCTTCTGTTTTCGGCATAGGGTAAAATATGGACTGGACCATTTCTTGGACCATTTTTTGGACCATTTTTTGGACCATTTTTTGGACCATTTTTTTAACTATTTTTTGGACCATTTGTTGGACCATTTTATAGGGGGGAAGCACACTATTAGTACTCAGGGAGGGGTGGGATGCAGTCTACTAGTACTGAGGGAGGGGTGGAAGGCAGAGTGTTATTACTCAGGGAGGGGTGAGAGAAGGACTATTGCTAGGCAGGGAGAGGTGAGAGGTGGATGTAATAGTTAACACTACTTGTTAATGGAGCTTTTACTCGATCGTACAAATTTTTGAATTTTTTGAATGTTCTTCATTTTTGTCGTCATGCGAAAGCGAAACTGCCACGTAAACACTGGACTTCGATTTCTATTGAAAATATCGGGTTTAAGATCCCCTACTGTTGAGTTATGCCTGTGCCTTTTGAGTCGACTTGTGTACCATCAGTTGCTTCACGTTTCCCTTTGTGTATACAGTATGTAATTACTAAATTTATCTATCTTACTTTTGTCATTCATCTTATCAGACGAGATCACGAAATTTCCGTTCCTTAGCCCTTAACTTAGCAGCATATAGAATTCACAAGCGCTCTTGCAATTTTAACGTCTATACCTTTACTATATAAAATAATTAGCAAACGATTTCGAAGAGGAATCCATATTCTCGTATCGAGCAAAAGCACTGCTTTACTTGTAATATGGGAAAGATGGGAAAGCGCAAATATCGATTTTATCTGTTTCGCAAACAAAGGAGTTGATCACCCACACCGGAAATAGCGACCAGGCATTCCTCGCGACTCCCGTACGCTTGTTTTCCAATTTGCCTGGGCCGCTGCCAATCACTTCTTGTGTAAAAACCTACGTAATCTGCTAAGTGGAAGTACAGTGGCTACTGTTGCTTACCGATATTTTCCGTCGGCAAAACGTAGAAGTCAGTAAATGTGACCGATTCTGCCCGGAAATTTTATTGTCTGGAGCTTGGATATGTCAGGAGAGTTTCATTGACAGCTGGATTAATTACACCCCATGTTGTGAAACCATTATGAAGACATCGCGCTTTCCTTCGCTTTTTTTGTCACATACAAAAAAGGAAACGTGAGGCAACTGAAAGATGATTCATGCTAACCCGTCGGTATCACTTAGCACTGGCACAAGTCGACCTAACAGGCACACGTATAACTTAATAGTGGAGGATCGAAAACAGGAATGGAATTGGTGATATTTTCAATGACAATTATAGTCCAGTGTTTAAGTGCCAGTTTCGCATTCGCATGACAAAAGATTAAAGAAACGCTACGGCCTAGCGCAAAAATTTTGACATACAAATAGTCAGTCGAAAAGCCGCTCAAAATAATTTGTATGATTCAATGAACACTCCATAAATCAGTAGCAGTTACCAGTATGTCAACTTCCCACCCCTCCCTGCGTACTAGTACTTCTTTCTCCACTAGTAGCAACAGTCTGCCTTTGGGTATACAGTATGTAATTATCAAATTTATCTATCTTCCTTTTGTCATTCATCTTATCAGACAAGATCACGAAATTTCCGTTCCTTAGCACTTAACTTAGCAGCACATAGAATTCACGAGCGCTCTTGCAATTTTAACGTTTATACCTTTACTACATAAAATCACTGTTGGTACAATCGTACAAAGCAATCTTTTCTCTTTTCAGAGACACAGTTTTCTCTTTTCAGATACAATGAACACACACTTAAGTGTGATGTCACGCATTCCAATTCGTACATTGATGATCAAAACAGCACAACTTCAGCACTGGGTAATTTTTCAAATAACATTTTCGCCTTTAATAGCTTAAGGGCACACATTTTCTTTCATATGGCCTCTGCATTGATTCATTAAATTCACACAAGTGCAAATTACAGAATTAACTTTTTCGAAAATAACATATTTCTAATTTACAAAGGAATCATTTCCCTTTCGCAAATTACCGATCCGATTAAATTAATCTCACAAATAACACGTTTTCATTTTGTTCCGTTTCGCAAATATTACAGTAAGCCCTCTCAGAGACAATGAAAAAACGACTTCGACATTTCGCAAAGACTTGAGAGAAAACTTTCCAATTTCTGAAACAGTCAGAGTTCGATAAGTGTTTGCTAACTGCAGGCCAAATCAAAATATTATGCACTAATAGGAAAAACCAAATTGTACAAATAAAGTTTTAAGTGTGCGGGCTGTGCGGAAATGGGCAACGGTAACTTTTCTGTCTACACATGTTATAGCACCTTTTGTTGTGATTGTATGTCATCAAACAAAACAGTGACAGTCACATATTAATAAATGGTGAGAATTTATCATTTCCTGAATTTGGCATTTTTTTCCCCCATATGTACTCTAGAGACCTAGCTCTTTCTGTATATGATTTCGATGAACTTCGAGTAATTCACGCTTAACTGCCGCCGAAATGATCACCAAGAAGGGAATAAATTGGGGCTGCAGTTTTTGGACGCACTCAACCTTACAATGAAAGTATACGTTTCCTAATCGTCCAGTCTTTTGCTCTCCATTCTGCCAATAGGCCCGTCTGGTGCTTGATATTATGACGAGGTCTTCTGGTGGGTTGGGAATAAAAAAGTCTTCACCACGCCTTAGTTTCAAGACACCCTTACACCCGTAACACCTTCTCACCAGAGGGCTGCATCTTTTAAGAAGGCTCAACTGGAAACTACCTTCTTGAACTGCCGGCGTTGATGTGTTGGGGCTATTATTCTGCAGATAGAATAAAATTAATGGCATTTTAGTTAACAGCCAAGATTAGTCGGTGGCTGCGTGGGAATTATGCAACGAGCCGACGGTCTCGCCAGATGCTAAATCCTTATAAACCTTATGTCCTGCAGGCCATTTCTACAATTGAAAGGTTCTGTGATTAGGAGGACTGTTTTTTTTAGACTTGCCGCGCATTATCACTACAAGCTTTATTTGATAGAGTTTTTATTTCGTTCAACCCAATTAGCTCACCAGTTAGTGAAATAGAACGACTTGCACAGAGCTAACATATAGCGGGACTTTACCATGATCATAGTCGATATAAAAAATCAAACGGTTGGCAGCATAATCACACAAAAAAATTTGAAACCTTTCACCGATCTAAAACCCGAGATAACAGAATCACGCATTACACCCTGTATTAACTGTGAATGATCCTTACAATATATACATACCTGAGGCTCTTCTATGTCTTTTTGTGTTGTTGTCTTCTCTGCTTCCTTCTCTGTGCCTCTGTTTCCTGAGGATCTTACTAAAGTCGACGCCGGATTCGATGCTGATTGGTCAGTTGGAGAGGTGTTAGTGTAACTCTCCACAACTTCCTCTCTTTTTTTATTTGTAGCACCTTTCCTTCTTTGTGTTGCCTTGGTCTTTTTTGACCCACGTCCAGGAGGGAGGTCCATGTGAATCAAGGCATCCACGTTAGGAGGCCTTTGGTTCGTTGTCTTGTAACAATGAACGAACTCAGTCAATGAACGACCCATTTCAGCCACAGCTAAAGTATGAGCACAAATGTCATACGCTTTAAAATCGATACAAGTGCCGCTGCACACATAATATGTTCCACGTCGCACGGTACGTTTCTTGCAAACTGCATACGATGGAGCATCAATTGCCTCGTTTGCCACATAACGTGGCAAATTGTCCCCTCTTCCAGGATCGGGATGGATATTTTCTTCTTTGCGCGCCAAAATCAACGATGCACGATGGTACATACGTGCTAGAATACTGAAGGGAACCCGGATAATGCCAAAATCTTCTAGAGGCAAACTCAATGGTGACATTGTGTCCGCTTCATTTGTGTTTTCCAGGTCGATAGGAATTATGTCAACTGTCTTTACTGGGAGATTGTGAAATTTTTTGAGCGCCGCTTCTTGTTGCGCTCTCGTCTTCCTGTAAAAGACAGACTCCTTCATTCCCTCTTCCTCGTAATTTTTGTCCATTTTTAGCTCTCCGAGCCAATAAATGCTAAATCCTCTTCTGTTCTCTGTCTTTTCACCACCGTCTGCAGCAACCTGGCAAATTCGGGAATAGAAAGCTTCCTTTTCCTTGTAAGTTGTTTCTCTCTTTGTAGAACCGAGTTCATACATTCATTTCCGTTCTGATCGTATACACCTGGTGGCCAGCCTAGACCAGCCATGGATCTCAATTCAGCTGTCATCGTTTGCCTTATAATTTCCGCTTTGTACTTACAAAAGTAAGTAACAAAGCGCTCTGAGAGTGGGTGTAAGGAAAGCCACTCCTCCTTCATTTTTTCCAGATTGGTCACGAACTGGGCGTGGCTTTCCGAGTCTATAAGACCAGGAACCCTCTTACAACCAATATCTCCTCCGAAGATGTCACTTAGAATGACTTCTGATGGTTTGCCCCGTATTCCAAGTTCGTTCATTTTTGACACTATGTTTTCTTTCATATGCAGGTCACAGAGTAAATGCTGGGCATAAGGGAGAGGTCTACCGAAACCCTCACCCAATGCCTTTTCTCCGTCAGTACCATATACTAGAACATTTTTTTTGTATTTAGTGAACTAGATATCATGAAAATTCACAGAATTTGCCTGTATGTTGGGTTTTTGCATTTAGCTTTATCATGGTAGACGAGAGCTCGTAATATCTGGATGGTTCTTTTTTGTGGTGAACTAGGGTTGGTCCAATCCGGACTGGATTCTTGTCTTCTTTGGTTCGGAGAAGGAGATGCCTGTATGTAGTAAGAGTCACATAATAGTCTCCAAAAATTGAAAATGGGATCGACTCCTAAAATACTGAACTGGCTAGGATTTGTGCAAAATCTTTCCACGTCCTTAAGTTGCTGGTCAGTGGTTAGGACAACACAAGGATCTGACGAGGTCTCTACTTTACGGACGAAGGCGTTCTCTTTGTCTCTGTTTCCTTGCTTCGCATGTCTATCAGCTCGAGTGTAGAATCCCCAGGTTGCTCTTCCATGGTTTTTTTAATGTTCTTTATCTGTTGTACATTTCTGGCATGGCTAGCTGCGTTTATAAAGTTTGAAATTGTTCCCTTTTCTTCGATACTCTTGAAAAACACCGTCTTGGGAGGGTCAGATTTCGCGAGCTCTTTTAACCGCTCCATGGTAGTATGCGAAGTGCGGTAATACTCTTTGGAAAGACTTTTAGAATTTCCATGTGGTTTAACTTTAACTTCGTGTTCATTATCATCAAAAACATATTGCAGAAGAGCAAAACCGTGAATCGTTCCGTTGGAATCTGAAAAAGGAGAAGATGAAAATTAATAAAGGTTTTGATATTTGAATGCACTTGGTAACCAGATGTTGTGCACTGGTGTGATATGCTGTATTGATTAAAACCCCCTTTTGCTGGTCAGATTTGTTACATTATGACTAATGAGGACGTAAATTTTTTTACGGTGAGGTTTTGAAGATGGACGTTTTTCACTCGAATATAGAAAAATTTTGTTTTGTTTTGTTTTTGTCAATAATTTTGTTTCCTATTTTTGGCCACACACCACTTTTCGGAGCACGCCATAGTTTACTTATTTCACTTGAGCAGTTTGATCTTTGGTTTGAATTGACTTTCTCTTTCTTCGGAAGCTTTTTTCATGATCCATGTTACAAATGTCTTACTAACCTCAACTGTTTATTCATTGTAGCAGGAACCTCTCAAACTGAGGCCTTGTCGTAATGACCTCGCTATCGCTAGGTTAATACCGCTAGGCCTCCACTCAAAGTTTGAGATTTTTCTATAAGGACCTCACTGTTATTTATTTGTTAAAATAGTCTTACCTGTCAGATAAATGAAAATCCTTTGCAAATCGGGGGAGGATTCATTCCTGTAGAAGCTTCTCGTACATTTATAGACCTGTGCCTCATGATCATCATATTCTGATTGGGAAGCCTTACGAACAGGATTCCTCTTGTTGGAAGCACGGTAGTATCATACTATATACTATATAGTATATGATACTATAATACATCGCTGTTTCGTTCCAGTTGGATTCCATGCACCAAGGTCGTCGCCAGAACATTTTTAAAGTGCTTTATGTGTGGGGCAGATATTTCCACCACAAAGACAGAATTTTCGGAGACAGCGGAAGGAACAGCACGTGCAATAAGTTCTCGAGGCGGATGGAAGAGGATATCTACCACTTTCCTGGAAGCCAAACCCGTAAGCAATCCCTGTCGGTAGATGGGAAACATTGGGTCGTCGTTCAAGTAATCAGTTCCTTGTTCGTCTTCACTGCTATCGCTGGAGTCGTTCAACTGGTGTGTCAGCACTTTCTTATTTACCTTTTCAGCCACATTTCTATGGAAGACAGTAAAAGAATTTCATAGGTTTCTCAAACGCCACAGCGGGAGAGCAAAATTCTCTAACGTTTCGTGCAAGGTGTGGTGATCGCTCACCGACATCGTTTTGAAATAATCAGACAATTAAAATATACCCTTCAGAGTTAATTGTTCGTAAACGCGTTCAATGACTTCACTGTTACTACGGAAATTTTATGGTATATATATTTGAGTGACTCACTTTTCTGATGCAAAGACTGGTTTGAAAAGGCACTCATCGCTGTCGCTCGTCTCAATATCCACACACACCCTTGATAAGAAAAAAAAATCAGACTGATTTATTATTAGGTATGATTGTTTGAATTGTATGAAATAATTTAAATACTCCAGTCGAAAGTCGAGAGCAGTATTCTTGATTGTAACTTTTGTTAATTGAAAGTTCAGGTCGCATTGGCCACCGGAAAACTTGCTCGAGCAAACGACCGTCGAGTTTCGATTAATACAAGCACAAAAAAGCCCATTCTCTTGATAATAAAATATATTGTACGGAAACGTAAAGGAGGGCACCAATAATATTGGCAACCAGTGTTACCTTTTGACTGGCGAATCAATGAGCGTCAAGTTTACTTTCTCAACCACAGCGGTTTTCTCATGAGGTATTTTGCCTGTAGTCTTGTCACAGTTGTCATCATGCTAGAAGAGAATATGACGTCAAATTCAGGAAACAAGCACTAGCAGAGGACCCAACCAATTTTCTTTTTTGCAAGAGGCCTACTTCTCTATACGGGAATCAACCTAAAGGGAGAACTGAGGACTCCTCTTCACAGTGCATGTTGCGTTTTATAAATCAAATCATTTTATATTACACTCCCGGGATTTTCTACCAATCAAATATTTTTCCAAGTTAATTTAACTTCAAAACCCTCTGCTTCCAGATACTAAAAAGTGTATTTTTAACAGATGAACTGAAGCGCGTGACTAATATAGCAGTACAGGCTTAAATGGGGTAACATTGGCCCATTGTAAGCCGTCGAATGCCAAAAGATTCAAACTTCAATTTTCAGGATTCAAAGTTCCAAATTACCTGACAAAAATTTGATTTTTGTCGCCCGTGAAAATAGATCCTTCTCACGTGCTCTTATTTTCACGATCGTGATCGGAGCGCGAGATCTGGCCATCTACGCAAGCATTGGTTTTCGCGTTAACAGTCCACTTAAACAATTCAAGTTCTGTCAAGTAAAATTTTGACAACGATAAGAACATTTTACCATTAAAACAATCCCCAAGAACAGGAGACTCAGCGGTTACTTCTGCATCACAACGAATAACGTCGCAAATTGCTCATAACATTTCCTATATGGTTTGTGCCATTTCACTGAAAGGTTTGTGCCAACTTGCACAGGTTATTTTAAACGCAGCCCGAAAAATACTTACCCGAACACGCTTGTTCTCCTTTTTGTACTTGCAGCAGAATCTCGAAGTGGGTTCTTCATCGCCTGAACTATCCACCTACACAAGCAGACTACTTGTCATTTTTTAATTAACAGACTGAAAAAGCCATCCTTAGCCCAACAGATTGCCCTTCCCTGGATTTGCCCTTAAATAACATGTCATTCTCCATGTCAACACCCTAAGAAATATATAGAGAACAGTATGCATGGAGAATATGCATACTAACGTTAAGGCGTAAATTTTTCTAACTAAAAAGGAAATTTAGACGAATGGCACCTTAAACTGAGGGGGATTTGCAAATAACCTTTTAGAGTTTGACTGTTAAAGAGATACGTTGGACATAATAAAGACACTTCACCTCCATTAAGCGCCTTCATAATTTTCTTGTATGATCCCATTTCTTCTGGGCCAACAAGAACGACACTCAGACCCTCCCTGCTTGCTCTAGCTGTCCGTCTACTGCGGTGAATGTAAAGCTGTTAACGAACACAGAGAAAGAATTTAGGAACGCAGAATCACATGAGATGGTTGCGCTAAAGTTAATACTTACATTGTGGTTACATTACACAACAGTTCATTATTAAATGAGATACAACTGAGGACGATAAACAATAACAAACTACTCCTCTCATATAAACTGCATTTGAACAGAGTCAATTTTTTTCCTAAATCAAAACTCATTAACTGAAATGAATTATGTTTTGATTTCGGTAGGTGAACCTCACACATTAACTCAAATCGGAAACAAAACAAAGATTTAGAAAATGAAGTTTTAGAAATAACTAAATATATGCAATTAAATAAATTTAGAGGTAAATAAAGAATTCAGGCGTCAACGGCGTTCGAACTTTGCTATCCACATTCTGGTTGAGCTTCTCTTACAGTTGAGACTTGTAGCCCACACCTTGGTCAACGCATGGTTGGTTGAAGCAGTGTGACTTCCGAAGCCTTTTGTCAAGGTAGAGTTTCGCGGAGAATGAAAGCACTGCCGCCAAAAAGCAATCGCTCCCGTTCCCGCCTGCCGCACAGGCTAACCAACTGCACAAGCTAACCAACCGTACACACATACTTACACGTACTTACATCAAGGTCCTTCGGAACTTGATAGTGAATCACATGCTCAACAGCTGGTATGTCCAAACCTCTCGCGGCCACATCTGTAGCCAGAAGTAAGCCACTCGCACTTTGCTTAAATTTAACAGGCAAGAAAAGAATCAGCCAAAATTTCATTTGCTGGTGTGAGTCCTATCTAGCTTTAAATATTCTCTGAGGGAGGAGAGGGGTGGGTTTTAATCAGTCAAGGCGATCCAGTTATAGTCTATCAAAAAAGGAAATTCCATTGGTCGGTTAGTTCGTAAACTATACTCACTGTTTTGATGAAAAAAAAATAGTAATAAGATCAGGATGATTCTGATCCAAGGCCACATAGCACGCATGTCGCCCAGTGTTTTGCGCAAAGCAAGTTGCGCAGTAAAGAACGTGAAAGACGCAACAGGAAAATTGCACGTTGTCTACAAAATTAGGTTCCTAATAGTTGCTTTGTTTTGTTGAGTTTTTTGTTTGGTTTTTTTTGTTCTGGTTTTTGTTTATTTCGTTTGTTTCATTGTTTTTTGTATTTTTGTCTTTTCCATCCCACTCAGTTTTCACCCGGCCTGTCTAAATTCTTTAATCTTTGCCTTTGTTGCATGCTGGCGTGCAGAACCCACGGGTTAAAGTCCAGGAGCCTACACAAAGAGCCCAGTCTCCTCATGCAGTCTACAGTTTTGGAGAAAACCAAAGTACGGCCTGGGTACCGGGAAAGGAAATAGTAGAGATATAGGTCCTAATAAATCTGAATGACGTGATTTTTACAACAACTGTATGTTTCGTAGTTCTCCTTCGATTTCACTTGGTACACCTCTGTGGCTCCGTGGATCATGTTTCCCAGACAATGTGGTGTACATGTAGATGCATTTGGCTCAAACCAACAATAAAAAGTAATAAAAATTGTATCCTGGATCTTGAAGAGTTTCGCTTCCTTGTTAGCTCAACTATTACAAACCTCTTCAATTGCACATGAGATCTTTGCTTCTGTCAGGGTTTCTACGGTTCCTCTCTTGTTGGTGACATCGATAATTTTACAACTGTTCTTCTGCAGCCCAACTTTGTCCATCAGCAACACTAAATATGTTACAAAGGCAACAAAGGCAAACATTTGAGAATTTAGACAGGCCGGGTGAAAACTGAGTGAGTTGGTCATTCTTTGTGCTTTTTCAAGTTGTGTGGATGGTGTGGTAACTGTTTGTTCCAGATTATCCTGAAGATTTAAATCAAAAGACAATACTATGTAGCTTTTTTTTTTTCCCCTGTGAGCCAAACTTCTAGAGAAAACCAAAAAGAAGCTTCTGTTCTTAGATATACATAATTGTGCATGTATGGGTAAAGACTGAAAAAATGCATGAGCCCTTGGGACAATGCAGTCTGCTGTCTTCAAAAAAATTAGGACAAACTGCTCTCAAAATGATTTCGATCAATTCCTGTATTTCCATGTAGTTCTTGTGGTGAGTGTTGTTGTTGTTGTTGTTTTCTTTTTGTTTGTTTGTTTGTTTTTTCATTTAATGTATGACTGGCAATTATCTTAGTTTTGATTCTCATGTCCAATACACCCAATCTGACTCAGGAGACAAGTCATTCCATTTGAGTCAGGTTGAGGATTATTATTAAGCGTCTTGAAAATCGACTTGTAGTAAGACATTTCCACCTTAAGAGGCACGGTTTATTCAGATTTCCAGTATCACAAGATGACTTAACCACTAATTAACTTCTGGTGGGTCGATTTGTGAACGACTCAACCCAATTTGGATGTATTGGACATTTTACCCTCAACATTTAATAATTAAAGATAAGTTATAATAAAAAATAAATAAACAAAATAATTTAAAAAGATAATTTTTCCCAATTTCTCGTAAAATACAAGGGTAATTTCACCACGTGCTTGAAGTGAATCTTACATTTGTATCTTCTAAATTTAACTATGCGGTATGTTTTAAAGCACTTTAAGCAATTCACCTCCTACAGCGGCCATTCTTTTATTTTCTTCTTCTGAGCTGGTCCACCTGCACCAATTCCTGCTAGCTCTTCTGGATGATAATCTTCCATGACTTCAAGGGACATAAATCCATCCATTTCGCCCGCAAAGAACGAAGGATCGTCCAATTCTACTGGTTCCCATTTTCGCTTCTTCCCTTTCGAATTCTTCTCTGACATTATGGAGCAATGAACAAAGAGCTTTAATTGAGAAACTGAATCTAAACGTTTTTTTTAAATAACAAACAACCGTTTTGGTTTATCCCTAGAGAATTAATAAAAACACTCTCACGTCGTCCGCCATTATGGATTACCCGCCAGAGAAGGACTGGATAAGAAATTGTACTGCGCGCATATTCAGACGAGAGTCATGCGCTGATTTATTGCTAAATGACTTTTCTTCCTTCACCGCGCCGAGTTCACTGAAACCTTTGTGAAACGTGAATGAAAAGACTAACATGGCGAAAGAACACCGTACATTCAAAGAGAAGTGCATTTATATTGAGCGCTTAAACGAAAACTCGTTTCTTATCAAGAAAGGCTTTGTCCCAAACATGAAGGTAAGTGAACGCGCGCCAAACATCAGATCGGAAGCTCAACTCCAGCTGAGTAGCGTGCGCGTCAAAATACACGTCTAACGATGTCATACTTGAGAATGTTCATAATAAGCTATGGTCATCGAAATAAATCCCCTTACACCTGCCATATCCGTCAAAGTAATTTCCTTCTTTGAAATAAGTTTTGTCACAAGGAAAATTGTTTCTGGGACAACTGGGCCCAGGAACCTTTTCTGCCCACGTTATGATCAAATCCCCGTCCCCTGCCCCCCTCCACGTCTCTCATGTCAGAACTATTTTCTTTTATTTGTTTGTTTGTTTCAATCAGTCAATTCACGAACTACAGTCAAACCTGTCTTAGGTGGCACCGTATTGAGCACTTGCACTGTAGTAGACGCCATATTCCCGTGGGTGACTGCTTAATACAAGGTTGACTGAACTGGACAAATAAATTTTGTCCTCACTTCCTCCATCAAACCCAGATTATATCCATTATTGTCCCCATCCCCCCTAATTTCTCACCTTTTCCCCTAGTTGCAGACTGTGGTGTTTTGCTGGAAATTGTTGATGCAAGAATGTCCTAATAAGTACTGGATTAGGATGTTCTGATTAATTAGTACCATGGACAAATTTTTACATACTGTTTCAGATTCAAGACTTGAGGTGTACATTGCAACTATTCAACTCTAAAGTTCAAACTATTCTTTTCTTTTTTTTCTTTAAAGGTTGAAGGTATCTTAGATATATAAACAAGCTGCTCGAAAAACTAATGTTTGATGAGCTGAAGCACTGGGCTGGAACTCAAGGTACAGTACTTTAAACATTTGAAATATAATACTGTTGTATTTGCTGCATTTGTCTTATTCCTTTTATACAATTAAATTAAATTGCTCTCCAGGTATTGGTGGTTTCCTTCCTGGTGTAAGGCAGATTGCAAATGTTGCAGCTTTGCCTGGAATTGTTGGTGTAAAAATGATCATAACTTTTTCTTGTTGAAATTACAACTTAGTTTAATTGAAACTTGTTCAGTCCTGGGCCCAGTTGTTTGAAGGCTGATAAGTGCTAACCCAGGGTTAAATTTTAATCAGGGTATGTTTAATCCTTTGTTTAAAAGCCTTTTAAAATAATTTACCATAGTTTTTTTTGGGCATCCAATCATCAAATTGCAGACTAAAGGAATTGTACATGTAGACTGAATTTCATTTGAAAGCTTTCAGATATGAAATCAGATTTCACACTGACCATTAGTTATCTAAACTCAGCTTTTAACAAACTGACCCTGTACTCTTGGGAAGCAGAGAAAGTATAAAGTGGAGATGACAGAAGAGTTTCTTGTTATACAGTTTGTGTTTCCATAGTATTTTTACACAAAGATTTCACTTAAAGTGATGCCAAATAGAGCATCCAGTTATCCAGTTAGATCCAGTTAGATCCAGTTAGATCCAGTTAGATCCAGTTAGATCCAGTTATCCCATGCACGATCTTGAGAACACATGCAAATCAGTTTTTCTGCTTTAAGCAAAAGCCCTTAGAACTGTTTTTCTAGGAGTTTTCTTAAGTTCCTGTTTATTTCCCTCAAAAAACAGGAAAACTGAAAGTGAAAAAAGGCAAATAGAATTAAAAGGCTACGTTTATTATTTAAACTTTATGTGCTCTTATTTACCTCATCAATGGAGTTCCTAGGCCGCTCATGCAGATCACAACACAATGACTCAGTTTAATTCTAGCCATTCTAGAAGTAACATTCCTTCACTTCTTCTTTGCTTATGGACTACAATGCTTTTACTGTCACTTTGATACCTATTTTTCGATGGTAAACCCTGTTTCAACAGGAAAAGAAAGCTGTTTAAAGGTGAAATCTGAGTAGAAGGAATTGCTTTCTACCATCGGAACACTGTTTAAACACCATACAAACTTGTTTCCAATACCTCTAAATATAGTGCTGCAACCCTGTCAACCCAATTCTTCACAGCACCCTTGCAACTCAGGTATCAAAGTGATGTCAAATTGTTGGCGTGACTGAAAACCCTGTTTCAACGGGAAAAGAAAGCTGTTTTAACAGTGAAATCTGACAAGTAAGAATCATTTTCCACCATACAGTAAATGAAAAATGAAAATGATAATCGTAATGATTTGCATATTTAGTTCAGGGCATGAAATTGCACCTAATACAGGTGCCAATGTGACTAAATTTTTCACTTTGGCGACTAAATCCTGAAAATCAATCACCAAATTGGTGACTAGCATGTTTCATCATAACCTTACCGAGAGATTTAGTGAATTAAAAAGATTTGCAAAGATAAATCCATGGCAAACTTCCTCGTTAAGTTTGTTTTCAAAACACAGCACGTGCATCTCAATCGATGACTTGATGCCAGCTTGGACTTAGGTGAGCTTGAATGTTATTTATCATCCATCCTAGTGTTCACTTTGTAGCACTTTAAAGATCTTTTCCCTAGTTTAATTTTGGAGGGTCTATCTTGGACTGTGACAGTGTAAAAAAAGGTTTTGTTTGTCTTTGAAAATGGCGACCAACTTTTTTTGAATTGGCAACCACTTTGAAGAATTTAGGAGCCTATTGGCTATCAGAAAAAAATATTAATTTCACGCCCTGTAGTTAGAAAGAAGTAGTCAGCTTTAGGGGTTTTTAGGGCTTTTGAATTCTGATTAGGTATTGTTTCATCATTCTTGTTCTATTATTTTATATCAGCGCTACTAGATTTGATCAAGTGAATTTGCTAGCTATCTTAGAATTTCATCTCTCCGCAGCCAAGAAGAATGTTGTGATTTACTTAAAAAAAGTATTATCTGGTCCTATCTGCTGTCTGGTGCATTGTTGAAAGCACTTAGCACATATTATTTCCTTTAATTTCATTAGTTGAGTTCGTGTGCCGCTGCACAGTAAAGATAAATCAAGAAAGCCTGCCTGTTGGTTTGTTTGTTTGCACTTCACGAATGAATGAAGACACAAATAGTACAGAACAGAAATGAAGAAGCCCCCTTTTACTTTGACATAGTTTAAAAGTACCTTGAACTATGGAAAATCCCTCTTTGAACATTAACATGATTTGAATTAATTTAAGCCATGAGTTCAACCTAGTATGGTATCTGGGATTGTGGCTTAGTCATCATTATGGGTGGCCGTCACCACCAAAAATACCAGGATGTCAAATAGATCAGTAAAAACAAAGCTGGTTTAAGGATCAGCTGCAGGACAGCATAGCTAATAAAGGAATGGCATGGCCAAATTATAGACAGTTTACTTTTCCTTCATGAAACAGAACACCCTAAACATGAATAGTTTAGCCAAATGATAAACGGTCTAGTTGCCCATGTCGAATTGGAAATCGAAATTGTGAAATGGACTAGCTCAATTGCAAATAACTTAGCACTTAGTGGCGGTCACCACCAAAAATACCAGGATGTCAAATAGATCAGTAAAAACAAAGCTGGTTTAAGGATCAGCTGCAGGACAGCATAGCTAATAAAGGAATGGCATGGCCAAATTATAGACAGTTTACTTTTCCTTCATGAAACAGAACACCCTAAACATGAATAGTTTAGCCAAATGATAAACAGTCTAGTTGCCCATGTCGAGTTGGAAATTGAAATTGTGAAATGGACTAGCTCAATTGCAAATAACTCAGCACTCATTTGCAATACAGTAAACAAATGGTGTAGCGTTGCGTCAAATGGCTCAGGGTAGTGTCAAGTAGCACAGCGTACACACAAACAGTGTAGTGTTGTGTGAAATGGCTCAGTGTAATTTTGAATGGTACAGCTTACATATAAACAGTGTAGCATTGCGTGAGATGGCACAGCATAAATTCGAATGGTACAGCATACACACAAATGGTGTGGCGTCGCATGAAATGGCTCAGCATAATGTTGAATGGTATAGACACACAAATGATGTAGTGTTGCGTGAAATGGCTGTTGTTATCAGTATCTGTTGTCTACATTGGCAGTAGAAAACAGACAAACAGAGGAGTTTCTTGATCACAGTGCAAATTTCAGGAAGATAAAAATTACCTTATAATTAAAAAAATATGTGCAAAAGACATTATAGTTAACTAAAACAATTCTACTGTATAAAATAGTGGGAAATGTTTGTTTCCTGTGTTTACACAAAAACTAGCAACTGTACAGTGCAGAACCCAGCTAGTCTTGAACTCTTGAGGGAAGCAACAATTTGCTCAAGACATACAGCTGGGAGTTTGAGATAGTGGGGTAAATTTGTCTGTGAAACAGGAACAAGGGATGCTGCTCTTTGTTTGAGATAGGGAGTTTTAGATAGCTGAGTTCCAATGGTTATGACTGAGAAAAGCAGGGCAAATCCAAGGGAAATGGGTTTGAGTTCGAGATAGCAGGGTTCAACTGTACCGTATTTACCTGTGTATAATATGCACTTTTTTCTATAAAAATAACCATCAAAATCGCGGTGCGTATTATACACGGATTCTATTGTTTGTCAAGCAGATCCTAATTTGCATACGTTAAAAAGACAACAAAGAAAGTAACAAAAGCCTAGTAGTAACTGGTCTTTATTAGCTTGAGTTAAATAATCTACCAATGAAACATTTTCAATTTTGATCCACAAACACAACAAAGAAAGTAACAAAAGCCTCATAGTAATTGGTCTTTATTAGCTTGAGTTAAATAAGCTACCAGTGGTGCCTAACCTTGAAGGTATCTCACAGCATTCACAGCAAACAGTCACCAAATTAAGTATTAATGTGTCACAGCAATGCAATTTTTTAGATGCACATTTACTTTACTATTACTAGTAATAATTATTTTGTAAGGTGCAATTCCCAAGTGGCAGTTGTGACCACAACACGTGTGCACTTGCTTAATGGCAATTGTCACAAGAAAATACCAAATGCTTCTACACTGCATGACCCTGTATGCATTATAGACATGTTGGTCTAAAAGAACATAAATATAGAGATTTTAAAAGCATTTCACATTCAGAGGAATTTTGAATTATATTTGTGGCATCAAATATTGTGGTTTCTCTGATGTTGTCTTTGCAAGGGTCAGGTACAATTTTGAGTAATGTAAAGTACCTGTGTGTATACCTTCTCTAGGTAACCACACTATAAGAGATAAATTGAAGACATGAAATTTAGATTTCACCAAGTATGGCATAAAATATATCTCCAAATGTTGTCTCTGCAACAGACAAAATACTGAGGAATGACCTGTAATTTGAATATTTAACCAAGTTTGAACTGTATGCAGTTGAACCTCTATTTAAGTGTCTATCACCCTTAAATAGATATTTTCAGAATCAACTCTATGCACATTGAATAGTTAAATGGTGAAATATTTCTTGTTTTTGAATTTACAAGATGTTAATTAGATGACGTCAACCTGGGAATTTGCCATTATTTCTATGCCAATTTACAATGTGCAGTATACAGCTTGAGGATAATTAATTTGATAAATACAAAAAATAAACTGTGGATAGTCAATTGATTGGTAAAAAATATTACTTGGAGGTGAAAACAAGTAGTTGTATAATAAATGATTCCCATGTTGACGTCATTAATTAGCATTTTGTAAATTTAAATCTATATAGCTCAATAACGCGACGTTCAAAACAAATATTTCACCATTTAACTGTTCAATGTGTGTAGAGTTGATTCTGAAAATATAATTGTATTTAAGGGTGACAGGCACTTTAAGTGGCCATACTTTAATTAATTACAGCCACCAACTATAACAGTCATTGTTTAATTCTAGAACTGGAGTGCCATGGTAGCAACTTCCAGTCATGGTCTGTTCTCGTTATTCAGTGATGACAAACCTCTTCTCAGTTGCCATGATTTGAATATTGTGTATTGTGTCAACCCAGAAGAATCAGTGGGCAGAGCCTTATTCAAATAAATCATGGTGAGTTTGTTGTACTTCCTTAGTGAGCACCCAACTATTCATTTCAGTAAAGCTGTTCAGATGGCGTATGACAGCTAAAATTTGTGTTAGTGGTTTCTATGCTTTGCATTGTTTAATTTAAAGGGGTGAGTGGAATAAAGCTTTGAGTGACTTCTGATCAACTGCTAGATTCTCCTTCCAGTTTATATTGTATATGCTCGTGTAACGAAGGGAGAATTTGGCTATAAATCAGGAGTCACCTAGGGCCTTATTCCAAACATTATTTTGAATAAGGCCCTAAGTGACTCCTGATCTGAAGCCAAATTGTTACATGAGCATATACAAGACAAACTGGAAGGAGAATCTAGCAGTTGATCAGAAGTCACTTAGGGCTTTATTCCAATCACCCCTTCATTTCGCACCGTAAAATTTTCGAACACTACAAACACATGAAATTTGCTAAATTTTCGGTCATTTTTACTAAAAAAAGGTCACTTAGAAAATTTTGGACAGCAATTTTCAGCTGGCATTTTTCGGAAAAATCACATTTTATTCCAAAGAATTTTCGGCTAAGTAAATTTTCAGCTAGAACATGTGAACAGCTAATATTTTTCTAACGATCTGTAGGTTTGTATATGTTTGATAAATACATGCGGCGCAATAATTTTTCCCACATACAGTACCGACAAGAACTGTCCCCCACTAAAATTGCACCAAAAGCAGACCTGAGCAGACCATACTTTCTGAAGTGAACCCAACCAAACTTCAAGCCCATATATAAGCTATATAGGTATGTGCCGCCTAATAGGGTCGGGTTTTTGAGCCTCTGGATCCATAAATAGGGTGTCTTATTCGCGATTCTGGGTCTGCTCATGTTTGCACTGATGTTTGCATGTGAAGTGGGGGTTAGTTCCAGTCGGTACTGTAACTGCAACGACAATCCAATCGGAGGGTTCAATCGACGGTGAGGAAAGAGGCCTCACTACTCTATGTACAGTACCGCTCGCGTATACGTTAGCTGCGCAGGCGAATTTCATACGCTCCGACGCAGGGTAGTCAGACGCGTATATACGATTTTTTGCACGCTCGGTCGAAAAAAATGCGCGATTCATGTGCCTTTGTTATTCAGTGCTACAAGTTTCCTTTGTATTTCATTGTTGTATGAAACAAAGGACTTCTAAGTTTGAAAAAGCGGTGAGTAGACAACGGAAAATTTTCATAATGAAAAAAAGCTATCTTACTATACTCTCGAATGTCGCGTCGCTTCGCGAATTTTTCGGATAACGAGTAGTAGCAGGAGATTGATGTTAAGCCTTCTGATCACCAACTACATTTATGATTTGTAACGTTCATATTTGTCATATTACAGGATATCCAAACTGAGCAGGAATTGTCCCCGGGCCCACCGACGTGCTGGCACACATTGGCTATATTCCTCGAACAGTCATTCAGTACGCTAAGTACCTTCTAAGAGGCAACAGTAACGTTGAACTTTTCATGGTCAAGGCAATTACTAATATTCTACAAGTACTAGAAGACGAAGCACTGTAGATTCCTGATAGGTGCAAACGTGTGCGCATCAGGTCACTAGCGATGATAAGTACTTGCAAGGCTAGTGGTATGTTTGAAATGAGGTGGTCACCATCAACCTTTTCCTGGTCTTGTTTGAAACCACCAGGATTCGATTTGAAAGAAGTATCCGTCGTTAACCCTCTGGTTGAAGAAGCTGTTGTGCAGTTTACGTTGGAAAATCCTAATTATTTGTTGGATGTAGTAAGTATTGATTTTTTTACTCTGGCGATCAAATCCTGGGGTGTGGGTCGATACTGAACTGACAGGGGGGCTCGGCCGTACCATTTTGTGTGTAAAATTCCAGATATGGTACTATTTAGGGGGGCTGTTGAAAAAAACAATTTTATAATTAACTTGGTACCATTTAGGGTGTCAATTGATTACTAATTGGAATCTGGTTACCGGTTACCGATTTCAGACTTTCAGTTACCGGTTACCGATTTCAGAATTTCAGTTACAGGTTACCGATTTCCCGTTTGGTAAACAAACAACATTTTTTCCATGCAAAACATTATAGTAAATGTGCTCGACTAGTACCTCGTCTATTAACAACAAATTAAGCGCTAGAATGAGCAGACAACCAAAACATGTCGAATTCTTCATGACACATCTGAAATCGGTAACCGATAACCAGATGCCAATAAGTCAGTCAACTTATTTGTCATGTAAAGCAGAGTACAAAAATATCATTCTCGATCAGCTTTTCAGTCAACCTACAGTGCCTTTTAGGGGTCATTTTTAGGGCCACAGCCGAGCCCCCCTAGTGTCAGTTCAGTATGGGAGCCGAACTCCCCCCCCCCACCCCGCCCCACGGGGAACAAATCTGCAGGTCTATAGGCTGGTTAACCGCGGTCAAACGAGAGAAATTTGCAAAAGTTAAGCAAAGTACTTAAAGGTTAAGGTAGTCGTTTTCACTGTTTATTAAAGTTTAATATATTGCCAACATATTTACCAAAATTTACCAAACGTTTTGAAAGTTTACCAAAAAAGTTCTAAATACTGTGAACCGCAGAATCGTCGACGCCATTTGTCAACATAATTTGGATCAGGCGCAAAGAGTTTTGGTCAGTTTTCCACGGAAAAAAGCTCATCATTTTGAGAAAAATTAAAAGATAATAACGTGAACTAATTTTTTTTACTCATCCTTGCTTACATTAAATAAAATCCCACTGAATAAAACGAAAACCGCGTTGGACGTTTGACCGCGGTGGACTAGGCTGGATACATCCCTGCGTTTGGTAAATGAAAGAAATAATTATGGCTTCATTCACCATTCATTCAGCGTGTCACGCCCCAAAGCATAAAGTATAATGAGGCTCCATCTCTTCATCAGGTGGATACCATAAAAGGCCTATCTGCAGGGAGACCTGGCAACTTAGTTGGCAAATATTGGGAGAAGCTGATATTTAGCAATCTCAAGGAATGTGTGAAAAATGAGTATTCCTTCAAGGAAGAGGCATGTGGTTCCACTGCTGCTAGCTCCTACTTAAATTTGTGTGGACATCAAAGCAAAACAGATACGAGAAAATCGATAGAACAGATAATTAGAGATAAATATAGTGCAATGATAGTCCATTGTCCTAATACCAACGCCTTTGACTTGGTCATCTTTGATAAATGCAACAAAATTCATGCCATTCAGGTAACCGTTCAAACCGCTGCGAAGAAATGTAACGACAGTGACTTTTTCAAGACTAAAAATATTCACTTTACGTATTTACTAGCGCCTTATAAGGTCGACGTCAACGCTATTAAATTGAAATCAAAGTTATATTATGCATATGTGGCGTATGGTTTGCGAATTGTAAATGGAGCCAGTTTTCTAACTCAGAAAGAATTGAGTACCGGTACTTTTCAATTTGGCGTCGAAGCCACTTGAAGATCTGTCTTGGCGTGGATTAATAAAACGGGTATTTCATCTTCAACATCTTTATTGCCCATGTGGAAAAAGGGACTTCCCTTCTCATGAGGCTTGAAAGAAACCACCCCGAACATACGGAAGATTGCTGAAGTTTACCCCCTCTTATTTTGAAACGAGCGCGGTGACCCCCATTTTTATTTCATTTATTTCTGAACTTCACTTGTATCGATCTTTGTTTATGCAAGGTTTCAAAACTTTTCTCTAAGTCCCGAACTACCTTAAATTATATGCATTAATACATACAGTAATTAGACTATTATATATTACTTACGCGCATATAACGAGACGAGATTATACAAACAATGACATGTGTCAAGAACTACAAAAGTAGTTAAAATTTTCGACCGCCATAGCGAACAAAACAAAACGAGGTCTGAATTGCCCTTATTCATAATGACGTCACATCAAAACAATCTATTGTTTAAACGCAAAGAATCATGGTTGCGGGAGGGGGACAAAACAGCAACAACACAAAAAAAATTGAGATAAAATTCGTTTTATAGACCAAAGAAAAGCGGTGACAGCCATCAAGTGCAATAAATATTGCTTATTAAACATTAGTGCATCTCATATTTGAGTCCCAGGCCATTTGAGTTCAAACTTTTCTTACCAGAGCGAGTTTTAAACGAATTACTATTGTTCTAGACAATTCTGTCCCCCTCATAGACAAGCCCTGACGTCATCATGAAGAAGAGCACTTAAAAACAATAAACGGAATATTTATTGGACGCTAAAACAATTGACAGTGAAATGAAGAACTTTCCTAATTAAGCATTGTAATATAGCATTTGTAGCATAGATTTCGTAATTCCAAAAAAGTATCCATCCCACTCCCGCCCCCCACGGATGGATTTTTTCACACAGCCCTTTGGAAACAACTTTTACAGCTTAGAGAGTTACTCTAAATCTCACCCTAAATGGATAATTTGGGAGGGGAAGCTCTTGATCTTTTGAGTTCCTGTTTGTAATTTTCATAATTTAAAAAAAAAAAAAAAAAATACAGCGACCGTCTAATACACGAACTACTTTCCATGTCATACACTTAAAGGCATAAATACGGGATTCGCGAAAGGAGAAGCCTTACGCCTCCTAAGACCAAATTCGTCACGCTCAACGTTTAACAAAAACGTACAGAGTTTCAAATATGCTTAAAGAATAAAGAATACCGAGAATAAGGTATTGAGAAACATATCTTTAGAGTTATTTTATGCGGGAGAGACAATATAACTGAGAACGAAAAAAATAGCGCGCACAAATGAAAATGTTACCTTTGGTAACACAATCTCATCCGGCTGTGCCAAACCTCAAGAAGACCAAGAACATACAGATGGAGAAATGACACCTTAAAAGTAATCTTTATTATCACATCGCAAACAAAAGTCATTAAATAATATCCTAATAACAGCTAAGCTTTCAGGTTAGCAGATTTAAAAGCGCAAGCGAATGGCAGGACTCGCACAAGCCTATCAACACCTTTTAACCATCGACAACCTTCTGATTTCCGGTTATCCGGCGTGTTGCCGTGTGCATTGTAGACTGTTATTTATGGGCAAGTGACTCCTTTCGTTGCTCTAATTCATCTGTCCTTCATTCAGTGATCAAGTAAGTAGATTTACCATACAACACTCGCCATTAGTGAATTTCCTTTTACCTAGGAAAGTAGATTTACAACACAATTGAGTATACGATAGTAACGCTGTGTAACGCAACAATAGGCCTGCTCTTAGCCATAATCGGTCTCAAACACTATCACTTAAAAAGCGAGAAACACATGTACCGTTTGAGAGCGTTTGGTCAGAGCTGTTGAAGTAGAATCAAAGCGGCCATCCAAATCTTTTAAAGGCTCCAAACTACGACGTACATCAAACTTGACCTTCTCGAAAACCGGTCTTAAATTACTTACTGAAAAACAGTGACTGCGTTTGTCCTTGGGAACCGTAGAATACGGGACAAATACGTACAAAAAAATATTTTTGCAAATTCAAAATAAATCAAATTACATTTATCTATAGTGAAAGGAAAAATGAACGGCCTAACTTTTACGGAATGTTCAGTCAAAATCTGCCGATTTTTGCTGCTTTCACCGCCATATTGAAAATGAAGCTACCACAATGCAACGCAATCGGAGTGCGCACACCGCCTGCATCTTACCGAATCGACGTGACATTGTAAACTCTAGAAAACTATTCAGCAACAAAAATCGAAAATGGTTTTTCCATTCCGATAGATTATTCTCCCTATTGCCCCTGAAGAACCCACTTCGCAAACACACTAGTTTTGGAAAGAGTCTAGCAGCGTGGAGAAATTTAGCCGCGACTCAAATATTTCTCTTTCTGTTTCGCTCATCTAAATGCAACGCATTTTTTTGTTTGGATTACGTATCTCCAAAATAAAAAAAGGAAAAAGGATATCAGTGACACATTGCTTTCTTTTTTCTTTAAATGGATAAAGCCTGAAAATTTCCAATTCCGCATATCCAAGACTACTTGTGCAAGGGGATGCAAGTTATCCAAGCGTGAAAGAATTTTATCATATTCCATCTTTGGCACTCTTCACCGCCACCGTTTTCATCTGTCACTTGCTCGTAAACCGACGTTCAGCTTCCCAAGAAGCTGTTATTTGGGAAGAATTTGACGTAGCTTGACTTATTTGGCTGTTTTTTTGTATTTTTTCCCAGCAAAAATTCAATTTAATCGAACCCTGTCGGAAATTAACGTATTTGTGTACATTATCGTTGAAAAGAAATGCTAGTCGCGTCTTTTACGACACCGTAAGCCCGCGCTGTACTTCGTAGAAGAACGAAAAACAAAGGAAATGTAGTTGGTAAACACACTTTTTGAACAGAAATGAAGTTCACTTAGAACTTAAACCCGAGAAAACTTCAAATAAGTGACATTTATTGCCTAAAAAGCTATGTGCGAAGAAATACTAAATTCTGAATTTTTGGTCGTAATGGTGGCCGTTCAAAAAAAGTTGACCTTGAACTTTCTTCGGAGAAGAGTACGTTTCCTTGCGATAAATAAGGACATTTGCTGTCAGATGCGATTGTTAACCGTGCGATGTACGACTATTAAGTCTAAAAGCCGGTCAAACACGATTATTAAGGAGTTCGTACGCGATTAATAGTCGTACTTACCACGATTATTAATCGTGATAGAAGACGCTTTCAGACTATTAATCGGAAGAGATGCCATTTGCGATTCATAGTCTTATTTAAAGGACCTTTAAGCCAAATAATCCTAAAATTTTCACTCCGGAAATTAATAAAAACCTGTTCAAAGCTATCCGTACTTGCATTAGAAATGATCTATGAAAGCAATGGTTCTCGAAATGCTCCGAACGCACACGCAAATCTTTTGGAAGAAACGTCCTTTCAATGGCATGAATCATGCACGTCAATAAATGTGGTATTTTGGCAGGGGATCCTGCTTGGTTTTTACCGGACTAGAGCACTCGAACGCTTCGCAATTAGCCATTTTGCTAGGGAAAACCCTTGGATAACCCCAACTACGAAAGTACGGAGCAACCATTACACGTCATCAACCCAAAATGCCTTGCGCACCTAAAAAGATGGAGAACGCGGGTAGTTCGAACTTGCCGTGAAGGCCAGTTTTGAAGGCCGAAAAAAATTAACAAGGTTAGAGGTATGATAGAGAACAGTATGCATGTAGAATATGCATACTAACGTTGAGGCATGAAGTTTTATCTAACTAAAAAGGAGATTTAGACTATGGCACCTTAAAGGTGGCCTCATGGTTAGTGCGCTCGACTCCGGATCGAGTGGTCCGGGTTTGAACCCTGGCCGGGGTCATTGTGTTGTGTTCTTAGGCAAGACACTTTACTCTCACAGAGCTTCTCTTCACCCAGGTGTACAAATGGGTACCAGCGAATATGCTGGGGGTAACCCTGCAATGGACTGGCATCCCATCCAGGGGGAGTAGCAATACTCCTAGCCGCTTCATGCTAAAGGAAACTGGAGTTAAGCACCGGCCCCATGTGCCACATGGGTCTGTATAAACGCTATACTTTACCTTAAAGGGGGATTTGCAAATAACCTCTTAGAGTTTAACTGTTAAAGAGATACTTTGGACATAATAAAGACACATTACCTCCATTAAGCGTCTTCATAATTTTCTTGTATGATCCCATTTCTTCTGGGCCAACAAGAACGACACTCAGACCTTCCCTGCTTGCTCTAGCTGTCCGTCCACTGCGGTGAATGTAAAGCTGTTAACGAACACAGAGAAAGAATTTAGGAACGCAGGATCACATGAAATGGTTGCGCTAAAGTTAATACTTACATTGTGGTTACATCATTACACAACAGTTCATTATTAAATGAGATACAACTGAGGACGATAAACAATAACAAGCTGCTCCTCTCATATAAACTGCATTTGGAGAACAGAGTCAATTTTTTCCTAAATCAAAACTCATTAACTTAAATGAATTACGTTTTGATTTCGGTAGGTGAACCTCACACATTAACTCAAATCGGAAACAAAACAAAGATTTAGAAAATGAAGATTTAGTTATAAGTAAATAAATGCAATAAAATAAATTTAGAGGTTTCTGGTTGAGCTTCTTTTACAGTTGAGACTTGTAGCCCACACCTTGGTCAACGCGCATGGTTGGTTGAAGCAGCGTGACTTCCGAAGCCTTTTGTCAGGGTAGAGTTTTGCGGAGAATGAAAGCACTGCCGCCAAAAAGCAATCGCTCCCGTTCCCGCCTGCCGCACAGGCTAACCACCGACACAAGCTAACCAACCGTACACACATACTTACACGTACTTACATCAAGGTCCTTCGGAACTTGATAGTGAATTACATGCTCAACAGCTGGTATGTCCAAACCTCTGGCGGCCACACCTGTAGCCAGAAGTAAGCCACTCGCACTTTGCTTAAATCTAACAGGCAAGAAAAAAAATCAGCTAAAATTTTATTTGCTGGTGTAAGTCCTATCTAGCTTTAAATATTCTCTGAGGGAGGAGAGGGGCGGGTTTTAATCAGTCAAGGCGACCCAGTTATAGTCTATAAATAAAGGATATTCCATTGGTCGGTTAGTTTGTAAACTATACTCACTGTATGTTTTGTAGTTCTCCTTCGATTTCACTTGGTACACCTTCATGGATCATGTTCCTAGACAGTGCGGTGTACGTGTCGATGCATTTGGCTCAAACCAACAATAAAAAGTAATAAAAATTGTATCCTGGATCTTGAAGTGTTTCTCTTCCTTGTCAGCTCAACTATTACAAACCTTCTCTTCAATTACACATGAGATCTTTGCTTCTGTCTACGGTTCCTCTCTTGTTGGTGACATCGATAATTTTACAACTGTTCTTCTGCTGCCCAACTTTGTCCATCGGTGACATTAAAAATGTAAAATGCAAAGAGTATTGCTGTTAACGGAAGAACACAAGCCGATCAACTTAATCATGTTTAACTAAGATGTTAGATAACAAAGACAAAAGCAAAACAACACAATACAAGCTTCGACACACTTCATAAAGCAGCAAATTTTCGGGTTTTAAATGATGGATTATTTAAATCATTTCATTCCTTAAGTAATAGCTGATAAAATACGTTGATGCTATCTCTAGCTTCTATTACTCTGAGTCAAATATGCCGTGATTTACCAAAGCCTTCTTCGCTTGTGATCTTCTTTTACTTTCCTTTCCTCTTAAACGACTTTGGAAGAGTTAAAGTTGCAGAGAATATAAACTTCTGTAGATGTCTTCGCTTTGCAGTTCCCTCATCTTCATCATTATCACTGCGAAAAGGAAACATTAAAGTTAAAATTTGATAAAAAGAGAGTCATTTACCTCAGTTTACAGGTTGATAGTCATGAAAACCATTAATTTCAGAAAGAGAAGCCTGAAAGAAATTGAAGCTCCGATGGAAATTGAAGTCCATTGCCTCTTTCTTTGAATGAGCTCCAATATAGAAGATAATTCTTGAAAGTGGCCTTGCTCGACCATTCGGTCTGCCTCGTCAATCACAAGATATCTCAAGTGCTCCAAACGGCATGCTCTTAACCCTAAAATTAAACGCCGCCAGAAGATATCTCTAGAATCATCCATTTGATAGAAAGAGGCTACACTCCAATTTCACCGTTGGGTATATGAAAAAGAAAAAAAACGCCCGGCACTGATGTTTACAGAGCAGTAGAAAATGCTTACAGCTGTACTTATCATTTTTTACGGCGTTTTACGAACGGAAAAACTTACACGACATTGGAAATCCAAATTCATGCTGAAAACTACACAGGACAACCGATCTCATGGGAAACATACCTACATGTACAAGTGTGTGTTGACTGTTTCAGATCTCTAAAAGAAAGTGAATCAGTACAACTTATGATACATGAGGTACTTACCTCGGAAATCAAATCCCACAGTCTTCCCGGGGTGGCTACTATTATCTCAGGACACTTGTTTAAAAGCCTCTGCTGTTTTTGAGGTGCCATTCCTCCAACCACAGCAACAATCTTGAAAAAAAGGAATTGTTTACTGATTCAAATGATTTTGAGGTACTTTGTTTGGTGGGTATTTCTCCGATAAAAGATAAAGTTGAAACAGGACTAGAAGGGGTGGCAAGGGAGTGGAGGGTAGGGGTTAAATGGTACATCATAGGGGCTGGGATTGTAATTCTCTGAACAAAAGGGTTTTTATATACTTTGCTGGTGAAGGTACCAAAAAACAATAGAGTTTATGTTTGAGGGAATAACAATGTTTTCAGCACTAACTCATCATTATTTAAATTGCTTTAAAGCCTATTGTGGCTACAAATTCATGTTTCCCCCAAAAAATTAAAAAATGCTTTCCAAACAAGAGATAGGTTTGCATTCTGCTCCACTGAAAAGAGGAGTATTGAAGGCTCAGGAGACAAAATTGACTTGGGCCAATAAAAATAAAGAAATAATTGAGTTTCTAACAATGGGAAAACAGAAACTAACTGTGGAGGTGACTTCCAAATTGTCAATTTAAGTACATGATGTTACCTCTAAAGATGTGTGTTTTGCAGCCTGTTTAAGATGATTCTTTATTTGTATAACCAATTCTCTGGTTGGTGTCATTATCAACGCCAGGAGTGGTTTCTTGAGCTTGGATGTTCCATTACCAGTTTCTGTGGCTTCTGTAGCATTATTTTTGGTAGTATTTTCTGTAGTTTCACCTGCTTCTTGATTGGACTTGTGGCCAAGGATATGGGTGAGAATTGGAATCCCAAAGGCTAGTGTTTTACCCCTGAACCCTAGTAAATACATAAAATTGTTTTAATTAATACCCTTAAATAATAACCTCCTCAAAAACCAGCCATTCCTGGAAGCTAAACTTCTCCCAAGTGATTTTATCATAACTTCAACAGACAATTTCAAGGCATTATCCAACAAATGATATGAGAACTATGAAACTTAGAACTTGAAGGGACTTATCTTGACAATCTTATTGTAATACACATTTTTGTATAAATAATGTTCCATCAACCAACTATAGGAAGATATAGAATGCCTACATATAGAAGGAAGAACTATTACATTAGTTCTTAAGAGAGCAAAATTTAACCATCAGTCAGTCAGTCAGTCAGTCAGAGCTCTCTCTCAAGAGGTACATCATACACATACTTTCAGCTCAACAGCTCTCCTCAAGAGTGCTTTTACAAAAGTCATATTTATAATTATTCAACAATCACTTAGTACTTAGACATTAATTCAGGTCAAAGACCAGCTCTAAAGAATCAGAAACTGTTTGCTATAATGTGTGGGAAAGTCTTCTTACACATAAATGAGCTAGGTGTACATCATAGTAGACACATGTACATGTTGAAAAATTATTTTTTTCCTCTCTCTCTCTCACTTTCCAAAAAAAAAAAAAAGGATTCTTCAAAATAGTTGTGAAACCAAGTACACAAACAATACACATAAAAAAAGAGACCTCCACCAATCTAACTGCTCTGATTCAACTCACTGTTTCTGCTGCACCAATGATGTCCCTGTGGTGGAATATTGCAGGTGGAAGGGAGAAAGTCTGTATAGGGGTTGGTGTAGTAAAACTTTGTTCACTGAGTCCTCTCTGAACTTCTTTGGGAACACCAAGGACTTCCCAAGCACTCATATCTACCATGGGCTCTAAAGTTTAGTTCAATCAAAATAAATGATTTAGCTATAAAATATGATTGCATCTTAAACTCATAGTGTTAGTGAGAAATATCATTTTATTACAGTTGAACCGAATGGGTAATTTGTACCTGTATAGATATGAAATATGTTTATAAAGGTTTTATAATCTAAATTAATAAATACTTTATTAATAAATAACAATACAGTAATAAAAAACTTATCAGTAAAATTACATTATTTATTACACCCATTTTGAAATCACTGGTGGTCCCTGTAATCTGATTGGCTCTAATTGATGCAATTTACTCACAAATTGCACCATTTTTTGCCTTAAATTGCATCTTTTTTCCAGCTAATGAGGAGGCTACACTAAAGACAAAACAACCAATCAGATTTCAAGGCTTGTTTAAAGTAACCAATCAAATTGCAGGAAAATGAAAGACAAAGAGTATCACATGGCAAATTTTGCAACTTTTGTTTCCAAAACTCTTACTTTTTCCCCCCAAAAAATGGATGAATTTAATTTCAGACCAGCTCAGTACTGCATCAATAAAATATTTGAACTTACCAAGTCCTGTGATTTCAAAATGGATGTAATAAAGTGGTAATTGAACCTCGTGTCATGCAATTTTGGTCTGAAATCATACTTGTGATTTCAAATCGAACTCACGCTGTGCACTTGTTTGAGTTTGAAATCATGCATATGATTTCAGCACAAATTGCACTCCACTTAGTTCAATTACCATTATTTATAGAAAATCATATCTTTTCCAAGATAACATTATCTACACAAAATGTGTTTGATTCTCTTCTTAATAATAAAATTCAAGGACAATCATTGGAGTAAAATTGTACTTTGTTTTGTGCATTTCCCATCCATAATTCCTAAAATTAAATCTTACCTGGAGGATCTTCCACCAGTCTATTGTCAGTGACCATTTCTACTCTGTTTTGCTCTTCTGACTGGGCTTTACTTTGGGCCTTGTTTTTCTTTTTCCTCTTCTTTTTTCCCTTTGTCTGTTGGTCATTCTTTGTGCTTTTTTCAAGTTGTGTGGATGGTGTGGTAACTGTTTGTTCCAGATTATCCTGAAGATTTAAATCAAAAGACAATACTATGTAGCTTTTTTTTTTTTTTTTTTTTTTTTTTCCTGTGAGCCAAACTTCTAGAGAAAACCAAAAAGAAGCTTCTATTCTTAGATATACATAATTGTGCATGTATGGGTAAAGACTGAAAAAATGCATGAGCCCTTGGGACAATGCAGTCTGCTGTCTTCAAAAAAATTAGGACAAACTGCTCTCAAAATGATTTCAATCAATTCCTGTATTTCCATGTAGTTCTTGTGGTGAGTGTTGTTGTTGTTGTTTTTTTTTTTTTTTGTTTGTTTGTTTCTTTTCTCATTTAAGGTATGACTGGCAGTTATCTTAGTTTTGATTCTCACGTCCAATATATACACCCAATCTGACTCAGGAGACAAGTCATTCCATTTGGGTCAGGTTGAGGATTATTATTAAGCGTCTTGAAAATCGACTTGTGGTAAGACATTTCCACCTTAAGAGGCACGGTTTATTCAGATTTCCAGTATCACAAGATGACTTAACCACTTATTAACTTCTGGTGGGTCGATTTGTAAACAACTCAACCCAATTTGGATGTATTGGACAACCCTCAACATTTATAATTAAAGATGAGTTATAACAAAAAATAAATAAACAAAAAAAATTTAAAAAGATAATTTTTCCCAATTTCTCGTAAAATACAAGGGTAATTTCACCACGTGCTTGAAGTGAATCTTACATTTGTATCTTCTAAATTTAACCATGCGGTATGTTTTGAAGCACTTTAAGCAATTCACCTCCTGCAGCGGCCGTTCTTTTATTTTCTTCTTTTGAGCTGGTCCACCTGCACTAATTCCTGCTAGCTCTTCTGGATGATAATCTTCCATGACTTCAAGGGACACAAATCCATCCATTTCGCCCGCAAAGAACGAAGGATCGTCCAATTCTACTGGTTCCCATTTTCGCTTCTTCCCTTTCGAATTCTTCTCTACCATTATGGAGCAATAATCAAAGAGCTTTAGTTGAGAAACTGAATGTAAACGCTCTTTTAAATAACAAACAACCGTTTTGGTTTATCCTTAGAGAATTAATAAAAACAATCTCACGTCGTCCGCCATTATGGATTACCCGCCAGAGAAGGACTGGATAAGAAATTGTACTGCGCGCATATTCAAACGGGAGTCATCCGCTGCTTTATTACTATATGGCTTTTCTCCCTTCGCCGAGTTAGCTGAAACCTTTGTAAAGCGCGAATGAAAAGACTAACATGGCGAAAGAACACCGTACATTCAAAGGGGAGTGCATTTATATTGAGCGCTTAAACGGAAACTCGTTTCTTATCAAGAAAGGCTTTGTCCCAAACATGAAGGTAAGTGAACGCGCGCCAAACATCAGATCGGAAGCTCAACTCCAGCTGAGTAGCGTGCGCGTCAAAATACACGTCTAACGATGTCATACTTGAGAATGTTGATAATAAGCTATGGTCATCGAAATAAATCCCCTTACACCTGCCATATCCGTCAAAGTAATTTCCTTCTTTGAAATAAGTTTTGTCACAAGGAAAATTGTTTCTGGGACAACTAGATTTTGTTCTCCCCCTCTTCCCCACCTTTTCTGCCCACGTTATGATCAAATCCCCTCCCCCTTCCCCCCCGTCCCCCCTCCACGTCTCTCATGTCAGAACTGTTTTCTTTTTTTTTTTTTGTTTCAATCAGTCAATTCACGAACTACAGTCAAACCTGTCTTAGGTGGCACCGTATTAAGCACTTGCACTGTATTAGACGCCATATTCCTGAGGATGACTGCTTAATACAGGGTTGACTGAACTGGACAAATAAATTTTGTCCTCACTTCCTCCATCAAACCCAGATTATATCCATTATTGTCCCCATCCCCCCTAATTTCCCTCCTTTTCCCCTAGTTGCAGACTGTGGTGTTTTGCTGGAAATTGTTGATGCAAGAATGTCCTAATTAGTACTGGATTAGGATGTTCTCAATAATTAGTACCATGGACAAATTTTTACATTCTGTTTCAGATACAAGACTTGAGGTGTACATTGCAGCTATTCAACTCTGAATTTCAAACTATTTTTTTCTCTTTTTTTCTTTAAAAATTGAAGGTATCTTAGATATATAAATGAGTTGCTTGAAAAGCAAATGTTTGATGAGCTGAAGCACTGGGCTGGAACTCAAGGTACAGTACTCTAAACATTTGAAATATAATACTGTTGTATTTGCTGCATTTTTCTTATTCCTTTGATACAGTTAAATTAAATTGCTCTCCAGGTATTGGTGGTTTCCTTACTGGTGTAAAGCAGATTGCAAATGTTGCAGCTTTGCCTGGAATTGTTGGTGTAAAAATGATCATAACTTTTTCTTGTTGAAATTACAACTCAGTTTAACTCAAACTTGTTCAATCCCGGGCCCAGTTGTTCAAAGGCTGATAAGTGCTAACCCAGGGTTAAATTTTAATCAGGGTGTGTTTAATCCTTGGCTTAAAAGCCTTTTTAGAATAATTCACTATAATTTTTTTAGGGCATCCAATCATCAAATTGCAGACTAAAGGAATTGTACATGTATACTGAAGTTCATTTGAAAGCTTTCAGATATGAAATCAGATTTCACACTGACCATTAGCTATCTAAACTCAGCTTTTAACAAACTGGGCACCCTGTACTCTTGGGAAGCAAAGAAAGTATAAAGTGGAGATGACAGAAGAGTTTCTTGTTATACAGTTTGTGTTTCCAGAGTATTTTTACACAAAGATTTCACTTAAAGTGGTGCCAAATAGAGCATCCAGTTATCCAGTTAGATCCAGGTATCCCATTATTTTAGAATGTGGGTTTATTGAACTTTCTCTGTGGTAAAAGTTTTATTTCCTTCTTAATAAATTTAGGAAATTCTGAAATAGTATGCGTAGAATACTAATATCCTAATATCCTTCTCAGGGAAAATGCACATATTTTTTCCAGGCTAATGAAGTCTTGAAAAAAGTACTTTCAGAGACAATATCATCCATCTCTAGATGAATTTGTCATCTCTGAAAGAATTTGTCATCTCATCAATCAGACTTTATGAATGACAATATACCCCCAGCCAGAGAAATTTTTGATCACTTCCCTTTTGTTGAAATAACAATAACAAAGAAGGCTATGTATCTCCGTTTCTATTCTGAAATGTTGATTCGTATTTTTTTGCTTGGCCCTCAGAGATCAGTTGGACTACCAGATGTTCATTCTGGCTGTGGATTTGCTATTGCTATTGGTAAGTTACAATTCACACATTTGTGATAAATAAGGCAACATTTTATTCTGAATATGTTTGTGGATTGTAGTTGTTTGAAGTGGGGTGTCATGTGAAAAAAATTTTTCTCAATAAGTTATTTGTCAACAATGTAGTTTCCTCGTCATAACTCAAAGTAAGTGCCCTTTGATGAAGCTTATAGTTTCTTTTCAAACTGGTAATGTGCTTAAAATGACTTTGGTTGGTCATGGTGATGAATTCACTTTCTGAATGCAGTATAATCATTTGTCTCACCATTAATTTACTTTGGATGTGGATCGTGACTTTTTGACTGCATATTGTGTCTTCTTTGCATTATAAGGTCAGTAGATATGCTTGACCTTATGAAACTCTCTGTTTGGCTGTGATTGGCTGGAATCCCACACAGGCTTTGATTGGCACACTCTGACCAAATGTTCCTTTGGAGTACACTGTCGCAGAGTTATTATGTTTTTGTGTTTCTTGTGGTCAGCATCCATGTTTCTGGGATGTCTACCTCAATGTCCAATTTATGTTGTAACAGGCAAAGTCTTATGTGGATGGCCTCTTATACCCTGCATGTATAATAATAGGATCACAATCAATGTACTCTACTTCAGTCCAGAGCAGGTGGTTTCCAGGTGTCTTCTGAAACTGCAGAGGCCTTTGTCTTAGCATGTCATTTCTCTATATGCTATATAACTCGTTTAACCTTACTTGCATAGGTTTTCCTGTTCTGCTGATGTAAACTTTGCCTTACTCTCAGGCAATCTTTTCAACCAGGGGCTCTTGTTTTAAAGATGCTGTGCCATGGATGGGGAGTGTCCTGTTACTATTTGTAACATCAGTGAAGTGAATGGAATGCTTTCGGTTCTTCAAATGCTGTAGCAAGCAAGATTGTGAATGTGTTATATACAGAGCGTTCCCAGATCCTTCGCTGGTAGGATGATAAGGTTATCGATTGCTCCTATAACTTAACTATAAATATTGTTATTTATTCTTTTTATTTATTTATTTTTACTTTTCGCAGTGGGGAGGAGGGGGGTTTGGCTGGGTGGCTTTTCTAATTTTGTAATTTGAGTTTATATGCTTACTTTGCAGTTCCACCCCGTTTTAGTAATGAGTTTAGAAATCTCACCATTGCACCCTAAAGCTCCATTCCTTTGATGCACTGTGATCTGTGTGATCTTGGACCACAAATCCTAATCCATATCCTCCCAAAGGAACACACAATTTAACTCCACATTTACAAAAAAGTGTTATTTGAGAGGTGATCCACAAGTATCAGTCAGCTGGACCAAGGATGGAGTGCTACTTAGTAAAAACAACAGCCTGGTTATTAGACAAGTGACATTTAAAGATAAGGGCAATTATGAATGTACTGCTAAATATGATTATGGCAAAGCAAACTCTTCCTTCCAGATGGATGTCAGAGGTAAACTCTATATTGTAGTTTATGTCAGTCATCAAACTTGTAACTTAACCAAGCATTTGTTTTGAAGTTAAAGCCAAATTTAAAGAGACCTATTTTTTTTCTCTCTTTTCATCCATATCATTTAAAAATATCAATGACCAAGGAACTAAGGAGTCATGATCTTATGATTCATTTTCATAAGTGTTAAAGGTAGTTCATCAACTTGGATATGAGTGTATCATTACCTAAATATTAATGATTGAAGTTGGAAAGAGATTACAAAGGAACATTCATATAACTTGTTTCAAATTACCAACATTAGTACTCTTTTTTCTAGAAAAGGGTTCCTGGTCACGTACAGTTGATTCTGACTCACAGACAACCAGATTGTAAATGAAGATAAATCCGTGACCAAAAAAATAATTGAAAACACCTCCTGTTGTTAAGAAATTGCAAATCCTGTGGTCCACTCTAACATTTTTCTCTGTGAACTTATGTTAAAACGCACAATTTGGATATGTCAAATGACAGATTTCCTTTTTTTTTTTTTTCATTACAGAATGCAAATGTTTTATATTGTTTGATCATCATTGCTTAATAACTTTTTGAATTCAATATATACTGTTAAAAAAATTAAACTGATAGTAATTGAACATTTATGTTTCTAACATTACGCTCAACAACCAAAAAAACATTATTGGAACTAACAGCCAAACAATATCTTTTTATGCTGAACTGGAAAACCTCTGGAAAAATTGACTTTGGTGAAAAATAGACTTGAAAATCGCGTTTTTTGTTTTGATTTTGTTGATTTTTCAAGGAACTGAGGGACATGATAGACTATAGCTGGAGCAAAACAAAATAGATTTTTTGTCAGGGTTTAATAAGTTCTTTTATAATTACTGTTAGGATTGGAAATCATTGAAATTATCACCACAACAGAGAAATGGATCTTACCATGTATGTATGGAGTCACATCCTAAAAGGAAAAATTTGGAGAAAAATATATAATGGTAAGTACCTTGTTTTCAATTTAGTGGTTTCAGTGTTATTATATCACAGATTAATTTAAGGACTTCACTTTTTCAAAGCATGGCCAAGGAAAAGACCTGGATTAATCACATTGATTTAGTTTGATTGGCATGATTGAGTTCAATAATAAAATTATTGAACTCGCTGAAAATTTCCAGTTCAATTATGTTTGATTGAACAGCAATCTAACAATTGGATTCCACTGAGTTCGATTGATTTTTGGCTGGGTTTTGTTCAATTGTCCATGCCAGGAAAAGATCAATGTTTAATTATATTGCCAAGAATTTCAACTCTACGTTTTTATTTTATCTCAATAAAAGCAATACTTGCAAAGAACACAGTTACCTCATCATGGTGTACCTCTCAAAAGAATCTTGCCCATTTCCTTGTATGGTCCTTGAACTGTTCTGGTGTTTTGTAGCTTTCTTGGCCTGGTTCTGGGTCCACTGCTTCCACCAGATCACTGAAACCCTATTTTATCAACAAAGAGAGCAAGTATGTAGATGAGTATATTTTAATATAATTTATTGTAGTCATGCCCCTTAGATATTGACTAAAATTTAACTCTATGATCCGAGTGACCAAATTAACACAAGAAAATGTTTACCTTCCATAATTTCTTCACTTCTCTGTATGTCCTTCTTTGATGACTTGTCCCCTCAAAGATTGGTTTATGATCCAGTTTGTGTAGGATTGCTCGGAGGTCTTTTCCTGACATAATACATTGTTGTTATTATTATTATGTTCGTTGTTATCAGTATTAGTTATTGCTTGCCATTGCACTGTGATATGTAAAGTAATGCAAAATAAAGCCTTTTTTAGCCTGTGGTAAATTAGAATGAAGTATTAATTTTTTTTTAGAATAGCCATAGAGGTCTTTGTTTTTTTTTTTTTTTTTTTTTTTTTTTCATTCTCGTGATATACACCTAACTTTAAGTCTGAGATTACAACTATGATTTTTTATTTTTAATTGAATCTTTGTGATTTCTACACTGGTCAGATTTTATTCACTATAGTCATGCCTGGCTTTGGTAGTTAGGTACATGTAGTTAAAATAAGTTACATTTGTTTTCACTGACCTCTGGTATTGAATGCAAGGCATTGATCCCATTTTGCCTGTTCCTCTCCTGTTTCAGAACACTGATTGGCGGAAGAATCTCTCTTTCCTCGTCTGGTAAGGCCATCCTCAACTCATGGTATGCCTCGTCTGAAATCAAGCCTTCATCTTTCGCAACAAGTACATGCTGCGTCGTCCGACAAGTGGAGTTTTCTCTCTCGTCACCAGCATCGTGTCCAAGTGGAATTACAACTTCACGTCCTTGTACAGTGAACTTAATCTGAAGAAGAAGACAGGGGTTTCCCTTTAAAATTTGTTTTCATATGAACATAGCTAGATAGATAGATTGATCGCCACATAGATGTATGATTTTTTTTCGCGACTTTGCTGTTGGTCAATGTCTCAGTTCTATTTTTCACGAAGAAGTAAAATTGTTACTTACCTTGATGGGCTCAAACTCCTCCAGTCCTTCCACCGATTGAGCCACTAGTTGCCTGACTCGTCTTTTCTTATTATTTCTGGCTGCCGGTGTTAATTGCCAGAAGTCCTTTTCGGTGTTGTAGAAAACATTTTCAGTCTCTGCAATTCTCTGCTTTAGCAGCATTCCTTCAGCATTTGCTAGTTGAAGCTGAGCTACGACTTCATTCAGCCGAGTTGCAATGGAGTTGTGCTAAATTCTCAAATTGTGGTTCTCTTCCCGAAGACGCCTTATTTCGGCCTCATAAACCTCTGTAAGAGATGGCTGTGTCTGTGCTAGTGTGCAACTCTGTGCTCGATTGTGTTGAAAATGAGTTAGAAAACTCCCACCGCTGACGGACTTAACCTTAAATTTCGACAACATTACTTAGCGAGTATCAGTCCTCATTACACCCGGACGTTTTTCTACTTAGCATCATTTTGTGTCTTGTTTTCATTCATGGATAACTTAAACAAAGCCATTGCTTTTAATAGAATGCCGATCGCTTTTTTGTGATCTTCATCAAATGAAACAGAAAAAAAAGAAACAAAAACCCACCCACACATAAGATCGACCTTAAGTCTGAAAAATACTTGAAGAGCGGGTTTATTTTTATAACCAACCTTCATAATCTTGAGAACGTATCAAAGCAATTAGAGAGGCGAGCGCGAACTGAGATCGCTTGAAACTTGTCAATGGCTCATTTTTATCAGGGAGGTGAGAAAATAACCATCTATTGTTAATCGTTTCTCATGAAGCGGCCGCTTGTATTAGAAGAATTGATCGATATCAAGGAATATTGCTGCGTTTTTTGCGCTAAGTGCTTATGCCATCAAATTTAAGAATTTGTTCATGCTTAGCGTGCGAATATCGAGTTATGGATGCACGGGGAAGTTTGGAGGGCAAGAAAAATGCGTAAGAGTAGCTCGAGGCGCAGCCGAAAGCAACTCTAGCTTTTTGAGTGCTCTCCAAACTTCCTAAGTGGATCCATAACTCGATATACGCACAGCTAAAAGCATGAGCAAATTCTTTTATAACAGAGCGACAACAAGGATCTGCGCGAAGAAGCCAAATTTGCTGCAGCTGGTCTTCCGACAAATTTGCGAAACGTGCAACTTGCGAGTTTTTTTCGGCTTTGTCTTGCTTGTTGGATCAGGACCTAAAAGGTCAATGCCGACAGAAAAATTGGGCAGTTCTTCGCTGGTTTCTTCCATATTTCAAAGAGAAGGAAAACTACACTGCAACTTAACAGGACGGAGACTGAAGCCGGGTAAAAAAAAAAATGCTCACATCATCTTATTTACGCGCGGCTGTGCGTAAATAAAGATTTTATTCATAGCGGCTCAACAGGACTTGTATAGGGAAAGCACGCGCGCTATGTTATAAAACTAATTCGCTCGCGGTTTAAATACTTTGTAAGCATTTGCGTTGTCATTAGATGGTTTCTTTTTGGGTTTCCTTTCAAAATTATTTATTGTCGAAACCAATGTGTCGACATCGATGGGAATAAATGCGAGTAACGTGCATCCCAGTAATATGTTCCGACATGCATTCGAGAATAAGCCGTAACGTAATAAAGATCGTCGGTGGAAAATGTCGTTTGAGATTAGGAGGGTGAAAAGACAATAGCAGGTAATTTAGTGTTGACAACTGGGTTGAAAACGTAAATTAGCCACCGTAAAGGTTAAAAAAGCTGACGTTTCGAGCCGAAGGGCTAACGCTCGAAACGTCAGCTTTTTCACCCTTTACGGTGGCTAATTTACGTTTTCAACCCAGTTGTTAACACTAAATTACCTGCTATACTCTCCCACCGACGCAGCACCACAGTTTCTTTAGAAACTTACCCCTTTATTCATTTGAAAAGACGATAGACTTCTTATCTTGTCTCGCAAATCTTGCCGTCTGGAAAATCAGATGCTCTGTTCACGGTACATAAAACCTTCAGAGGCGTTCAGTTATTCATCTCTCAAAGAATTCAAATTCATCTCGGTTTTTGTTCTTTGTACTTTTTTTCCAGAGGATGAAAAACTTCGTCGCAACAAACGCAAACCAAGACCCTGTTCTAAAGCCGCGGCTACACGAGCGATTTTTTGCCTGCAATGGTGATGCGATTTTTTCTTAACATTGTCACGTCGCCGGTCGCGGCTAAACGGGTGACAAAGTTTGTGATTTTGTCACGAAAAGTTCAACTCATCGAATTTCTCGCGACTTTTTTCAGCGATATAATGGCTGTCGCCGTCCCAGCACTTGCACGAGGGTGGCTACACGGGTAGTTTGCACCGCGCGCTGGCGACGCGACAAATTTAGAGAAAATCGCATCACCATTGCAAGTAAATAATCGCTCGTGCAGCCGCGGCTTAACATTGTGAGATCTGGAATCGGGCTACCTGTCGATTTAATTCAAACAAGCTTCATTCGTGACCATTCACACTGATTCAAATTTTATTTGGTTTCATCACTCTTTGTTTTCATCTCTCTCTCTGAAGTAAGAGGGACTTAGAGTCTGACCTTCCTACGTTACAAAATGAATTTTGCTGTCCTCTTATTGACTCGCTTCAAATTGAAGTCGTGAACATTCAAAGAAAGTAGTTATTGGATTCTGAAATTCATCCTTGTGCAAAATACTCGTCGTCTTCTTCCTTTTTTGTTATTTATTTACTTTTTTATTATTTGTGTCATCACAGAACGAGGTTTATATCTGGCGACTCTCCACTTTGTTTGGGAATAATTTTTTTCAACCGAAGGAAAACGTTGAGAAAGGTATTATTATCATATTATTTGTTTTCTTCCGGTATCCTTTAGATCATTAAAACGTTTCATTCGAGGCCTATTAGTTGTTTAACTCAGTTGTTGAATTGTTGATGAAAGCTGTGTATAATAAATTTTCGTTGAAGATCATCATCCATCTTATTTCAATTCAGCCGATTGAATTTACCATGATGCACTTTGGTTAATTACATTGTAGGTTTTTTAGCTCATTCATGCTGAAAGCAATGATTGAGGTATCTTGGTGATGTTGACGGAAGTTGTCGACCGTGGACGGGAGTTGTATTCCATGGACAGAAGTTGCATTGTAGACCGTGAACGGAAGTAGTCTCGCATGCTACCCCTCCCCACTCAGTAAAAGTCAAAAAAATTAATTTCGATGAAGCTCAGAAACTCACGTGGAAAAAAAATAAGATTTTTGTATGGTTTAAAAACAATGATAACTCAAATCACATTTCTGAACTTCTAAAAATGCAACTTGAATCGAAAAGCCAAAATGTTCACACCTAGGGGACCCTTAGCGGGTTCATTTCAAAACACGCCGTTATCACGCAGAAGAGCATTAGCATCAGAGACAGTCATATTGGCAAGCCACGCATTTGCGTTCGTCTTCATCTGGTATAAAGTTATCATTACTCTATCATTGTGCTTGTCCTCGGGAGCTTTTCAACATACAGTAAACACATTAATCATAGCGGCCAAGATGGTCTAAATATTTTCTTTCGAGCTCCATTATTTCGGTCCGGACTTGAGGCTCGCTCAGACAAAAACAGCAATACCAATCCGGTCAGTACAAAATGCAGACTGCAGACAGCAGACCGGGTACAAAATGCAGACTAGGTATAAAATGTAGACTGCAGACTGGTTACCAAATGCAGACTGAGAATTTATACTGTTTTTTCGTTTGATACGTGATAACATATCGTATTAAAACTTACCGAGCGTCACGCAATCGCTTTTCCGCGATCATCTTTTACGATCATTCGCAATATTGGGGAAAATTCCTTAACCGTTTCTTGATCACAGACGTTCTGAAAATAATTTCAAGCCTTCCTAGAGTCTTCTCGCTTTGCGCGCGAGTTAGTTGGTGTGACGTCGGCACAGAATTTACCAACTTAATAAAAGTGGATGTAGATGTAAATGAGATGTCACTATCGAATATTTAACACGCGCAATATTCGAGAAACAATTGACAGCTTTGCACGTGGTCCATACGTTTCATCCTTTTAACCGATATGTGTTCACTTTGTTGACAAAAATGCAGGCCGGGACCAAAATTGTTCCCTTGACTTGATATATTTTTAACGTTTAGGGGTGTTCGCGCACTGATTTTCACATATGTGCCTTATATTGTTGTTGGCTTACATGAGGAACCGGCGAATTTTTATAGGGAAAAGCGAAGCGTTGCTTTCGTGACTGGCCTTTTGATTACTTTTCTGATGGTTTTATCTCTCATCTGTTTGGAGATTACGCAAATATTGATATGTGAAAATCAGACTATATGGGGGCTTGAAATTCTATTAAGAACGATTGTGGCCGCTTTGTTAAATACCAAATGCAACGACCGCTTTATTAAAAACAAAAGATATCAAGAAACGAGCAAGGAATATTTCACAATGGTGCAAATGATCATGAAAGATGAGGGTTACAAATATTTTGCTGCTTGAGCAACATTTGATGCCTGATCATGCCCACCCAGCCCACCCTCCGCCCCACAAACACACACACGCACCAACAAAAAGGACACTGTCTGCCTAATGACCTCTGCCCATCCCACCTCCAGCCCACATAACCTTATTTCCAATTCCCATCACGACAAATGAACAAGTTTTCTTATCACACAACTGCCCAAAAGTCTTGAAATTTCACATAAACTGAATTCAACTGTACCTTATTCAAACAGTCCAAGATATCAATACAAACTTAAGCCATAACATGAATGAGCTGGCTCCAAGAGCCCTTTGATTAATTATATTTGCTGTCGGTCGCTGAAAATAGCTAAACACTTCTCAGTTGCTAATAGTTTTAATTTGCGCATAAAAAAACAATGGAGATCTTAGGATTCAGCGGTGTCACTAAAACATAGTGATTGAAACAAAAACATTCAGTTTTTGATAAGCTTTGGCAGTGAGTTGAAATTAATTTAAAATCAACTCAGAACTGTTTAGAAGGGAAAAACCATTAAAATAATCTATGTTTAGTCAACACTTACTTAATTCCACAC